CTCTGACCATTGCCGCCCTCTACTACTGGCCCTGGGATCTTGTTCAGGATGCCAAATCCAACAAACAGGAGCCTCTGCAGATCAAGGACAACCTGGGCAGCCTCCGAGTCTCACTCATTCTTGCTGCCGTTGCCGTCTTGCTACGCCCAACCAATTTGCTCATCTGGCTCGGAGTCCTCACCCTCACCGTCACACGGTTGACACTTGATGGAGAGTCTCCTATCAACAGATCGACATTGCTTGTTCTAGTCAAGGAGATCATCGTCTGTGGTAGTGCAGTCCTTGCCGTATCACTAATCTCGGACCGCCTCTACTTTGGCTTTTGGACCTTCCCGCCCTACAAATGGCTGTACTTCAACATCTCTCAGTCCCTCGCCGTCTTCTACGGCCACATGCCATGGCACTACTACCTTTCTCAGGGAATCCCTCTACTCACAACCACCTTCCTCCCCTTTGCGCTCGTTGGTTTATACAAGGCAACATCGTCTTCCAGAACCCTTACCGTCCTCCAGTCTAACATACTCAAGACGCTTTCCTTTGCCGTCTTGTCCATGGTCGGGACTCTCTCCATCATCTCCCACAAGGAAGTCCGCTTCATCTACCCTCTTCTCCCCATCCTTCACATCCTAGCCGCTCCCTATGTCTTCAAATTCTTCACCATCCCAGCAACATCAGCAACAGCAGCAACCACAACTCAAACCAAAGGCAACGCCGCCGCTCCCTCTTCACCAACGACGACAGGCCCCGTAACCCTCCGCCACAAAATCTCCCTCGCCAACCTCCTCTCCCTCAACCTCCTCCTCGCCATCTACCTCTCCCTCTTCCATCAACCCGCCGCGCTCTCCGTCATGACCTTTCTCCGCGCCGAATTCGAGCGCATCCACCCGGACTCGCTCTCCCTCGACTCTTCTTTGTCCCAAAAACAAGAACTCTTCGCCCTCTTCCTTACCCCCTGCCACTCCACCCCCTGGCGCTCGCACCTCGCCTATCCGGCCCTGCGCGCCAGGGCTTTGACTTGCGAGCCGCCGCTGCATACGCAGCCCGGGAGTGAGGAGAGGAGGGATTACATGGATGAGGCTGATCGGTTTTATAAGAAGTCCGAAGAAGAGGACGGGTTGTATGGTGTGGAGTTCTTGAGGGAGGAGATGTGGGGTGGTGATGGTCTCACTAGTGGCGGTGGTACACAGGGGGAGGAGATTCCGAGGTATATTGTCGGGTTTGAAGGGATTGAGGAGTCGCTGAAGAAGTTCTTTGAGGAAGACAAAAAGGGGAAGGAGATGGGGATTGAACTGAACAAGGTGTGGGAGGGGTGGAATGGCGCGTTTAATGAGGATTGGAGGAGGAGGGGGAAGTTGGTCGTTTGGAATACGGGGGTTTATGATGAGCTTGTTGCAGAACAAAAGAGGAGTGTGTTTTGAGTAGGTCTGGCGGCTAGATTTGGGAGATCAAGGTGGTTGTGTGGGAGAGTTGAGTGGTTCATAAAGAAGTGCTCTAGATAGGAGGAAAACTGGTAATATGCGCCGAGGATAGGCCTGGCGCAAAAGAATAAGAAGAAATGTAATGCAGCAGCGAAAAGAAAGCAGCAAGATCCAAAGAAATATGTACAACGAACTTGAGGAACAACTGAGGATGTCCAAAAGGCAAATAACCAGCTTAAGGCCGGCCTCTGCCTCTCCTCTCAGTCCCCGGCCCTTCTCACAATGCGGTATCTCTTCCCACTCTTCTTCATCTCTTCCCTTTGCGTTCTTTTCCTTGCCTCAGCCTCCTCCGCCCTTTCCGTCATTCTCATTCTTCCCATGCCCACCCCGTCGTGTTTCCTTCCCATCTACATCCCCTCATCGCCCATATGCCATCTCCACACTCTATATCCAACAACTATCCCTCTTTTCCCAATTATCTCTATTCAAGTTCCTTTTCTTTTTTTCTTATCTCTTTTCATCCTCACGTCAAAACAGGATTATCATCGTAATTCCCCCACTTTGTTGGCACCGGGCAGCAAGACACCTTCAGCGTACAAGGGCCCCCAGGGTACCTGTCCCAGGGCGGGTCGCATCCGTGCTTACCTGCCTTTAGGTTGTCCCGGTTGAGCGCATAGTAGCGGTCGTCTTGACAGCGGCAGATAGCGGGAACGCAGTTGTGGGGGTCGGCGCTGTTGGGAGGAAAAAAAAAAATAATGGGGTTAGTTAATTGATGGGTGGTTGGGATCGGGTGAACAAGAGGAGAGGAGAAGAGAAGGGAGTTGTGGGAAGGGGAAGAGAGAGAGAGAGCGGGATGTTATGTTCGAAGATGATGATGATGATGATGATGATGAAGTGCAAAGAGTTGAGGGGTGGGGAACGACGAAATGGAAAACACTTACAAATAACCACATTGACTCTTCGTGTTAAGTCTCCCTTCCAGGATGTGGCTCGCCACCATGCTTTGGACGAGTTTATCGTCGGTTGGGTGGGCTGATACCTTTCCTGTTCCTGTGATGCTTGTGATGATGCTAGCGGCCACAAGAAGTAGGGCGTTGTTGTTGACTGTGAACCTCATCGTCGAGGTCGAGTTCTCGTTCGACGCTTGGTCAAAATCGAAATGCTGAATGGGTGCTTTGACGGTGTTCCTTTTTTCTTTTCTTCTTCGTTCGTTCCTATCTTTGCTTATTGTCTGCGGCGTGTATGTTGAGAGTGTTTCGAAAAGACAGTAAACAGATAGTAAAGAAGAGTCAAGTCGGAGGAGTTCTGATTGGGTGACAGATGGGTCTAAGGAGTGTACAGAGTTGATGGAGAAAAATCTTCCTATAGTAACAGAGACAGGGATCAAGAGAAACGGGTGGGAGGAAGTGCCAAAGCGTCTTTATATCTCCCAAAGAAGTGATGAATAACCAAGAATGCGTGACGCCTCGAGTGGCTGAATAGTCGGGTCGGGTGGTCTACTTTGGCCAATTGTTGAAGGGAGGACAAAAGGGTTATAGCAGGATGTTGCCGATTACAAGGTAGCTCCAAAGACATTCCCTTCGTTTGAATGATCACGGGCAAGCAAATAGACATGGACATACCACTAGTTGGGAATAAGGGAGTCGGGAGTCACTTGGCAAGTGGCAGGTTCAAAGAATCAGGACGGCACACCAGGCAAGGCTTTGAACAAACTCACCCCTGACTAACCATGGGACTCGGGGGGTTTCTTTATGAGTTACCGTGGCACAACAATGAACTTGTCGGCCCCTGATCACCGCGTGACGCCTTGTAGAGAGACCATACTCTAAATATAAAGATGGCGAAGTTGAGGGTTAAGCAATATATAAAGGCAGAGAACAATTCTAAGGTGAGCTCAGACTGTTGATCGACCTTGATATTGTCTCCTCCTTCTTACTATGGGTTCATCCGGTCGGTCACAGGACCGCCGGGGACATTGTCGTCTCCAGGAGTTGGAATTGTCGAGCTTCAATCAACTCGGACGGGTGAAGGATGGTTGCTTGATGGTCTTCGGGATATCCACAGATATGGTGGAGGACAAATGTATCCAACCAAATTGAAGCTGCGCATGAACTGGCTCCGTCCGTTGTTTGTCTGCATTTTGATGGCAAGAAACATGGAAGACAGGTGAGCCTAGAACCCAAATCGGGTATTCCAGGTGAAGTAGGGGCGACCGAGCGGTTCGACTGCTTCGTTCGTGGTTCACTTGCTCTCCATCGCTCCTTCTCTGTATACGGTATTCTCTACAAGAAACTTGATATCAGACTTGACCTCGAACCACAACACCAAGGGGCATCAGACGGCAATCGGGCGGTGCCTCACAACGAAGCCAAGCAAAAGCCGAGATACCTGAGTCTTTATATGTTGATGTTCACCATCCAGCATGATCGTCGTCGATACCATATTGATCATAAGGCTCAACGCCTTGGAGCTATCTCGCAAGAGTTCCTTCCATTCTGTCTGTTCAAAGCGGCTCGTCTTTGTCGAGTGTCCATGGAGCATGACCCTTGTCTGTTGTGCTGCCGGGTCTTTGTTGATTGCCCTCGTTCGTTTGGGAAAAAAATGCCGATGGAGATTTACTTTGTTCAATTGTACCTGTGCGCGACTTCTTTGTTAGACTACGGGTGTGCGTCTGTCTGAACTTCTACCATAGGTTCCAAAACGCAATGTTGTGTTTTTTTTTTTTTTTTTTTTTTTTTTTTTGATATGGATGAGATCCACTCGTAACGTGATCTAGAAAACCTCGAAACAAATGATTTGATGTTACCACGGGAACAAGCCCTCCGACCGCGGAGTGTCTTGCAACAGAACCAGACATGGAACGGCGATGGCCCAATAGTTGTGTGTGGTTTTGCTAGGCCCGAGTGTGACCGACCCATTCTAAAATTGGCCATGTCTTATTCACCTTGCTTAGCACAGGCAAGCCCCCCCCTATTGGAGCACTGCAAGACTGGCTCATCCTTAACTGATAGAGTCCTCACGTCGCTCCTTCCCCAGACTCATCATGTTCGGAGGGCATACAAGAAAGAGCGACGGCGAGCAAGTGGGAAAGAGCGAGCACAGAAATTCTCGTTCGTCCCTGCAAATGTAGATGACGCCTTGACAGGACCCTGAAGCCCTTGAATATAGTAAGTAAGCTCATAGAGGTACTTACATCGTCGCAGTGTCCCTGGCACATCGTGATGTCAGTTGCATCGCTTGACTGTATGTAGTCATGTCAAGTGTAGATGTACAATGGACCGTACCTCAAGACCGCCTCATCCGGCTTACCGACGCGACAAGTACAGAGTAAGTATCTCTTGCGCCATCACTCGCGTCATTCATTCCCGAGATCTCATAGCATGTGGATCGGCAAACCGATCTTCGGACTCCCGAAGCCAAGGACGAGACCGTGAAATGAATGAATTGCATACAGTCTAGACCTGGTTTGTTTGTCGGCTTGGTACAGCAAAATGCCTATTTCCACACTCGGAATACTAAAACGGAAAAGCATTCGACTTTCGAGCGGACCGTGCCGTAGGGGACTGCTGTCTCATATCGTTCAGTCTTTGAAGGCTAAGGGTGAAGACGGAGAGCAGGATAAGAAGGCTACTGGCGCGTTTTCAACCCTGGCTAGCTATTTTCCATGCCGCTTCAAACGGCGGCCAGTTTCTCTCTTTGCAGGCCAATAAGAGCTCTAGATCTCCTTTGTTAAACCGAAGCACTGACCTAAGGAACAAACAAACCAGTACTGGATTGTACATAACCCGATAAGCATAAATCATACAGTAACGTCATGCACCACCATATGTACCTCTACCTACTGAGGTGCCCGACGATGCATGACAGTACAAGTGAACCTGTTCGGCACCCACTCACTCACCTAACCACGCGCCTTGAAGCTGGCGTCTCACCTTCCTGCCCGTCCTACACGGCCGTTTGACGTGTGGCTGTAAAGTTCCCTCACCGCTTTCTAGCTTTCCAGTGAGTGGTAAAAGTGGCTGGGCTGAATGAAGGGTGTGTGGGTGGGCGGCCGGCGGCGTCGCGGGTAGCGGCTTTTCTAGAACTCGCATCCGCATCCGAGAAGAGTCATGGGCCCGGGGCATGGTCGGTGCTGTAACAAGTTTAAGGTGTCTTGGAGCACAAATTCTCGTGGGACAGCCAATTTCAGGGTTCACGAATCGGGCTGTTGTTGCGAGATTCCGTGGGTTTTGTGTTTGAACCGACATTGACCATCTACCGTACAAAGAGAGTAGAAACGACCAAGATTGATGAAATCATGTGGGTGAAGAAAGGTAATTGGAAGAGGCGATAAAGGTTCCATTCCGTACGCTTGTGTTTGAATGTCTCTTAGTGGTTGGTTTTTGTTGACGATGATGACGGTGATGGAACTCACAACAAACATCCAACGAACACACAAAGGGGACGACGGGAAGGAAACAGTGAATCTGCCTTTCCCGTTCGTCACAACAAAGATGGCCGGCTGCTTGCTGGCTGGCTGCTACACAACGCAAAACTGTGGAGGAGTGCACATGAGGACGAGGCGGGTCGGGTTGTCTGCAGCCAAACAGAGTGGGTGGTTACTACATACACCAAGCAACTCCATGTAGGGTCCCTACTTCTAAGCTCCAGAACCCAAAGTTTCCCCTTTCCTTCCCCTCATCCCCTCATTAACTGTTGTCCTGTTCGTCCATTTCGTCATTTCTCCAAGTGACCCAATGCTTCCAACCCGAATCAGTATCAAAAGAGAATGGCGGCCGGGAAAGTAGTGTATTTGGAGTGCCTGTTTGGTTGCCAATAACATCAAACATACAGGGTTTAGCGCGTGGGGAGGGAGATCTGGGGAAATCCGCTTGTCAATGTCGTCTCGTTCGGACTTTGTGCTTGTTTGGGCGCCATTGTGTTTGGCACTCTTTCGTTCTCCATGCCAATCTGTCAAGGGTCAGTCAGACTTTCAAACTTGACAAGTCGAGTCCGGGGTAATGTGTCTTATCAAGACTACTAAGGTATAACCGACGGACCCGTGAAACTCCTGTGTAGCGTAGCGTAGCGCCGTAGACGCAATACAAGGGACGCTCGCCCGTTAGTCGAGGTGTCGACAACGTGTTGGGCCTTCTTAGGTTTGGTCAGAGAGAAATCGCAACCACAAGTGATATCGAAAAAAATCAATGGCCAGCCAGTCTCTATCCTGTTTCAACTCTTTCGTTTGCACCGCCCATGTTGATTGGTGGGCGCTATCGAATCCGCAGATAAGGGGTGCTGGATGCGTTACCTTGCATAATGGAGGTGGTGGGTGAACGTCTTCACGTCTCAAAGAGAGAAAGCAATCAAACCGAGCTCCATTTTGAGCTTGGAGATTGGCCAGCATCACGACAGCCTCACTCGCACCCCACAGGCGTCGAGTACGTCCACCTACATACAGGCGGCTGGGGTTCTTCCTGTGCTTGTGTCGTTGGTGTAGGGTGTGTGCCCCGTTGTGTCCAGCTAAGCCAACAGGCACAAGGTCGACAGGGTCAACACGGCCGCCGACGCCGTGGAGAATTGTGTGCTGCAAGGAGGAGTTTGTGTGATAAATCTCGATCGCTACCTCTATGACCAGGCAAGAGGAGTGAAAACTCCCCAGTGTCTAGCGAACCTCGCTGCGGATGCCTACTGCGCAGAGTTGGCAGTTTGATGTTTGGTTGGAACTGGCGATCCGGACCGCCGAGAATGAGCAAGATCAGCCTGGTGCGCCAACAGAAAAGCGCACAGCTATTTTGGGTAAGAGCGTGCTCTGCTAACTAGTACCAAGCCAGCGTGGTTGTTATCGCCCGCGGAATCCTGGTTTGAGAGTACCATGAGCCCCAAAGCTTATTCATTGGATTGCTGCTTGGGTGCTTTGCTTTTTGTGCAACCTGGAGGGAGACTCGCCACATCTTGTGACAGACTCTCGCGGAAATAATCTGGCTGAAGAGGCGCTGATTGATAAGCCTGTAATGGATGAACACTGTCTTGACTCTTTTGAAAAAGGAGTGATAAGAGAACTCGAATATTGATTGTCTCGACTGGCGTGAATTAGCTTTGCTAGTCTGTCTTGACCTCGAGAGGTGATGTTCCATGGCTGCGAGGGGAGAAGGTCAATGGCTGGGATCGCTTCATGCAAGTCGCTCACGCCCGCATTCTGATGCAGCCTGTGGATCGACCAGGCGGGACTGCTGCCTGAGATTCTGGGTTCCGGTTGGCTGGTCATTATTACTCTTTGTAGTGTATGTATACAACGCGCACAGTGGCCATGGATGAATGTGTGGTTGATTGTTTTTGGAGTGCCTGTGTCGTCAAAGATGATTAGAGTTTGGTGATATCGTCATTGTTTGGAACAATGAATAAATGAGTAATTCCAAGCCCCTTCTCGTCTAGAAGCAACCGAAGTCTTGAATCGAGGGTCCTTGCTGATGAATCTTTGGGAACACTACTACCGGGCAGTCGGGCTATGACCTTGTACGTATTTGAAATGGAGACAGGATGACATTAGCGACGGGTTGATGCTCGGGACTAAACATGTCCATCAATTGCGACTTTGTGCCAGTACGCTACGTGATTTTGCCTCGTGCCCGGTTCGGTGCCCGCAAAGACGCAAGACAAGCGGTAAATGACAGGAACAACAACATGACGCGTTTCGACATGGAGACTGACCGTTAAGAGATGCCATAACCGACAACGAAGAACCCACCCAGCTTTATAACCTAATTACGAGCTTCCTTCCAACGTGGTCCGACAACAGGTTCCAATCAATTTCAAGGTTCCCAGGCTGCCTATCCGTGGAGAAGAAAACCCGCCTCGAGGCTTCGCAGCGAGGTGTCACTCCAAGCGGTGATGTTATCAAGCTGCAAGTGCCTTATCACCACAGAAGGACAGGCCGTTTTAGGTAGCGTCGGGAGTTGGGGCCAATGGCGGGCCGGCAACGTGCATCTCCACTCGCGGCGTAGCAGGGCCCTTGTACCGTCTGCGTACCCCGGGCCCACCTGACCCCTTCTGGAAAGGCGGAAGAGCTGGGCAGACGGCCTTGAATGCTACCGCAGGGTACCCACGAGCTACATTGACTGGTGCAGACCATGTCGAGGCATCATGACTCCAATGCACCTGCACGGACCAGTCCCCTTGCACATCATCACGAGCTCCAGGTGTAGTCACTCGCAAGTCGCTTGGGACGCTGCCCCCCTCTGCTGCCACCTGGATCTGGCTGATGCTGCCCTGCCCATCGAGGTTCCCGTCCCTCTTTTGCCGTCTCCTCTCGTCATTCACTCACTGCCATTAATCTCAACTTCCTCCAGTCTCTTCAAATCGAGACTGAAGATAACGTCTTTTGTCTTCCCCCCCTTTGGGAATCACGCATATCACGATTTATAGTCTACCAAATAAACCAAAGAACTGCGGGCAACGACTCTTTCCCGTGCTCCGCTCCGGGCACAAATAGGTACCTAAGTTGACGTATCTACAGCTCGTCCGCCCCCAGTCTCATGCCTGTTACGTCGGTACCGCCTGGGTACCCGATACGGTACCTCACTTAGAGGTACTGGTGCGCTATCACTTATCGCTGTCCATCCAACAGTCCACCCACTCCTTCCTGCGGCGTCCCTCGATCCGCATCACCCATCACCGCGACCGTCGACCACGGCCAACCGACCACCCAGACACTCCCACGACAGGACCACACCCATTCCCCCCGTTGCGTCAGGTCCCCATCCACTCATCGTCCGCAACATCTCCTACTAGCACCGCCCTTGGGCCCTTCAGAATTGCCTCCCTCGGCCGGCTTTACCGAACCATCTTTGCGTCTCTCTCTCTCCCCCCATATCGCCCGTTCATCTCTCCATCCTCCGAGTCAAGGTCACAGCTTCGGTCTCCCTCTCCGCTGTCTCCGGTCTCGCACCCTCAGGTTCCGATCGCCATCGGCGGGATCCATCGCGCCTTTAACATCTATCGCCATATACCACATCCATACACCCGACACCATACCAACTTTCGCCGCTTCCGCATCAACTGCCGTATGTCGGTCCGACCATCGCGTCATCCTACTGCTCTCTCGACCCGTTTCTCATAGACGCTACCTAGTACAAATCCGCCCTCCTATACATATCAATCGCACAACTAGATATAACCCAGCCGCAACCCTCGCCGTTGTCGAACTGATTGATACGGACGAGGCCAGCCTGCGGCCGATCGGGTCTGAGTCATTGACTTGACGTAGGACGTCAGTCTGCCGCGGTGGAAGAAGAGCAGCTGTCAATAACCACGCTTCCGTATTGATAGCAGACGTCCAGGTACAACAGTGTCAGTGTCGGAGCTTGGACCCTATTCTACTGTGTCCTGAGCCTTCATCCGTCCGTCGTTTCCTCCATCAACCTCAGGTGCTCGACTGCCTGTTCGTTCTGCCGTTCTTCCGCTCTTTTTCGCATCGACGGTTCCATCAGCCACCCGTTCGGGCTCACCTAGGCATCCCGTCCTCTCCGACTCCTCCAGACTTTGAAACGATTGTACTGAGCTCGACCCCCCTTCGCCCCTCCTCTTCCATCCCATACCACCGTATACTCTCTCTTCGTTCAACCCAGTCTCATCGTCGCTTGGCTGTCCATCTGCCATCCCCACCCAAGCCTGGCGCATAACAAATTCGAAGAACCATCAAGGTACTTCGTACTCGAACCTCTTCCCTCGACCACGCATTTGCCGTTTCATCTTTGGCTTCGACACATCCTCGACCTATAATCTCCACCTGCATCATTGCATAACCGAACGCAGTCGGCCTTATTAATACAAACTTGTCTGCTTCTGCCTAGAGCTCGTCTTCATCATCCTAACCACCTGAACCCCGGATAGATAGCACCACACCATTTGGCGTATACATGCCTGCCAGACTTGAGGTTGACGTCTTCCGAATAGTTTAGTCCCTTGGGCTACCTACCTTTACGCTGACTTCCCGTCATCAACACATACACCAGGAAGCCATGTCGGACCGAACGTCTGCTTCCTCGTCTTCGAGGAGGACGAAGCAGAGCTACGATGCCATTGGATCCTTTGTCATTGATCAAGAGATAGGAAAAGGAAGCTTTGCAAAGGTTTATCTAGGCCGACATAAGGTTAGTGTACTATGCAGCCTCACCCTGATCGATCTTTCAGCATCCCATACGGCCTTGACCTCACATCCGTACCGTGATCTGGGCTGCTTGCTGACATATCGTGCCTACAGGTCACGGGTGCATTGGTTGCTGTCAAATCCGTTGAGCTCGCCCGCCTAAATAAGAAGCTGAAGGAAAACCTGTACGGGGAGATCCAAATTCTCAAGACCCTCCGACACCCTCATATCGTCGCGCTCCATGACTGCGTTGAATCCTCTACCCATATCAATCTGATCATGGAGTATTGCGAACTCGGTGACTTGTCACTGTTCATCAAGAAGCGAGACAAGCTCATAACAAACCCCTATACGCACGACCTTGCGCGGAAATACCCCGTCTATCCGAACGCCGGCCTGAATGAGGTGGTGACTCGCCACTTTCTGAAACAGTTGGCGAGCGCATTACAGTTTTTGCGCGCTGGGGATTTCGTTCATCGCGACGTCAAGCCCCAGAATCTTCTTCTGCTTCCCTCTCCTCAGATGATGGCGAACAACAAGACGGCAAAACACATCATGAGCGGCAGCTATGACTCCTTTACGCCTGCTGCCGGCCTAGCGTCGGCCCCGATGCTGAAGCTTGCCGATTTTGGTTTCGCCCGTGTGCTGCCGTCGACATCCCTCGCCGAGACACTATGCGGCTCTCCTCTTTACATGGCTCCAGAAATTTTGCGATATGAGAAGTACGATGCGAAGGCCGATTTGTGGTCCGTGGGCACGGTATTGTACGAAATGGTAACCGGAAGGCCGCCGTTCAAAGCCAGCAATCACGTGGAACTTTTGAGGAAAATCGAATCATCGGGCGATGTGATCAAGTTCACAAGGGAGAGTGTGGTTAGCCAAGAGATGAAAGGCCTCATCCGCGCTCTCTTGAAGAAGAACCCGGTGGAGAGAATAAGCTTTGAAGATCTATTTAACCATCCTGTTGTCACAGAACCTATTCCAGGGCTTGTGGAAGACGACATTCCCAAGCCACCACGTCGCCGGTCCTTGAAGGAGGAAAGGCCTGTTAGTCGGGCGGAAGACTCGCTCGTACCCTCGCGAAAGCAATCTCTCAGGAAGGACCTGGCAGACCGCGAGGGTGCTCCTCAGACGGCTGGTCCCTCTTCACCAAAACCTCGCCGATCGTCGCCCTTAGCGACCCCTAACGAGCCCGTCGAGATCAGTAAACCAAACTACTTCCAGATACCACCGAGAGAAGATCGCCTCAGCTATTCTCCTCGAAAGGAAGCTGCTGATGGGCTAGGGATTAAGCGTCCACAAGTTCAACCGTCAACGTCTGCTCCAACCCGTCCATCTTCGTATGTAGACCGACGACATCGCTCATCAAATGCCTCGCTCAGGGCTCCTGTCCGAGAAGCAAACCCCTCTCCAAATGAGGTCACAAGGACAAAACCCAGAGGTATGGGCACCAAACCCATGACAGAGGAGGAGAGGGCAGCCCAGGATATCGCGTTTGAGCGCGACTATGTGTTGGTGGACAAGAAGCATCTCGAAGTGAACGCACTTGCGGACCAAATATCAATGTATCCGCAACAGCCCCAGTCCCCAAAGTCAGCGCAAATCGTTAGACGCGCAACTCAACAAGGCTCACCCACCTCGACGAGTGGCGCAGTTCCGAGCCCACCTTCCAGAGCACTTCAGTTGGCCCAGGGTCATAGCCGTCAAGGGTCCTACGACAAGGCACTTGGCACGAGTCCCAGCAAGGCGACTTCAGTGATATCCAAGGCTATTCAGGATGCAAGCTTGCGGTTATTCGGATTCAAATACGCCCCTCACCTACTAAGCAAAGGCCCATCTCCTGTTCCGATGTACAACCCATTCCCGACGTATCCAGCCCCTAATACCCCCACCGGCTTGATTTCAGATGGGAAGCAAGGCACCCCCGTGGACGAAGACTCCCGTGTGGCCCAGTGCATAGAGGATCACGCAACACGGAGCGATGTCGTGTACGGATTTGCCGAAGTCAAGTACAAGCAGCTTGTCCCGCTCGCTCCCTCGATGGACCATGGTCTTGGCGGTGCGCCCATTGAAAAATCGGCGGAGGAGGATGGGCTTACAGCCGAAGCTATCGTCTCGTTATCCGAAGAGGCGCTGGTTCTGTATGTCAAGGCGCTCACTCTTCTGGCCAAGTCGATGGATATCGCCAGTCTCTGGTGGTCACGGAAGAACAAGGTTGAGTCGACCAATAGTATCACTTCGGCAGCACGGGATTCAGCAAACTCGGAGGCCCTGGCTCTCAGGATCAACGGCGCTGTCCAATGGATCCGTTCACGCTTCAATGAAGTCTTGGAGAAAGCCGAGATTGTTCGACTCAAGCTGGCTGAGGCACAAAAGCGACTACCTGAAGATCACCCCAGTCATCCAAACAACCATGCGAACGACTCGACCGCTTTGAACAGTCTCAGCACTGTCGGCGTATTCTTGAGCGAGGGTATCAGTGCAGAGAGGCTGATGTACGATCGCGCCATCGAGATGAGTCGTGCTGCTGCCATCAATGAGATTGCCAACGAGGATCTCCCTGGATGTGAGATTTCTTACATCACAGCGATTCGTATGTTGGAAGCTGTTCTGGATCAGGATGACGACCACCTTCCAAAACGAAAGGTTTCTGGCGCATCAAAGGAGGAGAAGACTGGCGCCAACGAGTTATCAGACGAGATGAATAACGAGGACAAGCAAGTCGTCCAAAATGGTGAGCCAACTTCCGTGCTCGTACAAAACAAAGCTAGCCTTTACTAACATGGATCATCATAGTGATCAATATGGTCAACAACCGACTTACGGTCCTTAGGAAGAAGTTACGTCTAATTGAATCAGCTTCGAAAGCACAGCAACAAGAAGAGCAGAAGCAACAGAATCTCATGCGTCGGCGCAGTGGAGAAATGACATCCCGGAGCGTCCCTGCTTAGCAAAACTATGCGTTACCTTACGAATGAACGACACAGATCCAAAAGCGAAGATATCAGCATTACGAAGCTCATATGCCCCACGGCTGCTACTATACTTGGATCGCGCCTTTTTGGCCTCTCTCCACTTCACTCTCATCTTTGTTATTTTCATCTACTTATCTTCTTGTTATCGTGCTACATATCATACCAGGAGTTAGGGTTTGCGCTTATTTGTTCATCTTTTTCTTGTCATCCACCATGTACTAGCTCTCAGGAGATGGTCTGGTTTGGCAGTACACATTGCGCTGGCGCCAGAGGCTCGGGCGTATCTCTCCATTGTCGAAGGCAATACCAAGCTTGGGCGCTTGGCAGAGCTTCAGTGGAAGAACTTGAAGTTACCTTCGGACGGTTTACATTAACAGAGGCGTTTGAGGAAGGAATACATTTTTGGGGAGGATTTCTACTACCAGATTGTTGTCAAGACAGTGTTTTCGGAGTGTTATGTTAGCGGCTTCTTTTTACTTTTTTTACTTTCAGTGTGTTCTAATATCCTTTTTTTTTTCCCCTTTCTTCTAGGATCCTTTGATGTCAGGTTTCGGTTGTTACTAGCAAGTTTATGCAGTTCGTGGTTACTGGCAGATATCAGGCTCAGTGCCTGTCATTTGGATGAGACAATAAACATCAATTTATATCTCCACGCTTCCCTGTTCCCACATGTTGATCAGATCATGGTCTTTCAGCCTGCCCATGTTATATATTGTCATTTCGTCGGTGACTAGCCACGGAAAACATGTCTGTTCACGTTCGTTGCCTATTCATGATCTTATGACTGTATTATTGTTGCCACAGGACTTTGGGTATATCATTAAACTATTTTGAAGTCGCTCTTTTCTCCATACCTCATCTCGCCACCGCGTAAACTAAGCTCAACTTAAACCCCCTTCGAAAACGTCTGTCCACCCATCTTCTTATCGAACTCGACGCACTCACTCAATCCGCAAAGCTCAAAAAGCTCTCTAATCCCACCGGGAACCTGCTCCGCATTCTCCCCTTCGCCCTTTTGCTTTTCGGTAAAGCCAGCTGTCACCGCCCCCGTCTCCAGCAACTCCTTCGCTGCCTTCTGGTAAGCCAAGTACGCATGCGTCATGGCAAAGCACGGCCAGATGGCGATTCTGTACCCCAACTCCTTCGCTTCTTTGGCGTTCACCAAGGGCGTCAGTCCTCCAGGAACGAGATTGATCAAGCACGGGGTTGGGGCCATGGCCTTTGTGAACTTGGCCATCTGTTCCCGATCCTTGACGCCTTCCAAGAACACGGCGTCCGCGCCGGCTTCCACGGCGGCCTTGAGGCGAGTTAGGGCTTCATCGAACCCCATGGACTGAAGCGCGTCGGTGCGGGCGATGATGACCAAATCACTTCCCAGTCTCTCCCTCGCTTCGCGGGCCGCACGGATGCGCGCGACAAAGGTCGCTACGTCCACCATCTCTTTGCCTCCCAGGTGGCCGCACCGCTTGGTGGTTACTTGGTCTTCGAGGTGGAGGCCGGCTACACCACCCAAGATGTAGCGCTCGACGGTCCGGGCAACCATGACGGGCCCGCCGAAGCCGGTGTCGATGTCGGCAATTAGGGGTACGGAGCGGTCGAGGGAGGAGAGCATGGACGCTTGGCGGACCATGTCGTCGGCGGTGGTAAGGCCAAGGTCAGGCATGCCTAGGAGGGAGATGGCGGTTCCGGCGCCAGTCTGGGAGTTAAGGGGTTGTTTTGTTAGTCAGGGGTTTAGGGGGAATGGATGCAAGTTGGTGCTAACTGCATGCGATGGAAACTTGTCGAACTTACCATGTACAGATTCTTGAAACCCTGCTGAAGACAAACCCTCGCGGAGAGACCATCTTGAACGCCGGGACAGACGATGAGATCATCCGACTCGAAGAGTTGGGCGCGGAGCTTGGCTGCTGCTTGGTTGATTACTGCCATTTTGTCGATTGTGATAATTGAACGAGGTGATTTGATTATGTCAATGGATCGATGTCAACAAGACGGGGACAACAAGAAGCCTTTTATTCAGATCAAGTAGATAACCGATTTGTATATGTACAAATATCAATGTTTACTAATCCAACATACGCGAGCTTTCACCGACCGCTCTCCGGAATGGCGGTGCGTGTTTCTTTTCAAGTTAATGGCGAAGGCGCGAGAGTTCTGAATCGTCGGTTGTTTGACATCATGATCCATTGATCTTCGCTCCGCTTTCGGAGTTGGTGGCCTTCCGGGAGGAGGCGGGATCTCCAATTTTTTTTAGTTAGTGCAGGTTCGTGCCGATTGAAAGCGCCAAGGGCGGCCGACGTAGCGTGGGTGGTGGAGAGTGGATTTGGATCGTGGGGAGAGCGGGGCGATGGTTGACCAAGACCAAAAGATGAATGGCTTTTGTGTTGATCAAGGTGCCCATTTTCTCGGTTTCCGATTCACAGGGGTCTCGCTGCCAAGATATCTAACGTAGGTAAACTTCGATGTCAGGAAAAGGCATCATGGCGATCAGGAAACTTCCTTTTGCAGAACATCAACAATTTTGCGACCCCCTGTTTTCCGAATGACGACCATCTAGATTTCAACCCCCACGCCCGTCTTGTCGTGGGGGAGAACGTGAGGTGAGGTCGGAATGAGTTGCCGAAAGTGAGACATTCCTCCGTTTGGCTGCTTACTCCTCATTCCTCAATTGCCAAAAGTTGAGCCTCAACGTTCCATCGCGGCAATGTCGTGGTGTAGAGACGAACGTCGTCCGATCTTCCGGTCTCGTCCGTGAACTTCGACTCTCATATTGATTTGTTATCTACATGCTAACACTCTTGAGCCGTGTCGCTGCAATTGATTGACACATCGTGAACCACATCGAAGACTCAAATATTCCATTGTAATACATAACTCCCCATATTGTCAGTTCCAACAATCTTATCCCCGTATCAACCCCCCTCATACTTGGCTTCAAAACAACAACCATGACAACCTTCCCCGCCTCCTGGACCCTTACTCCCTCCGCCCGCCTCGAGATCTTTACCACCCAAATCCTCCCCGCCGAACTACAACCCCATCTACCCAGCAGCCCCCCTTCCCCAACCACATCTACAACCAAAGACACCACCACCACCCGTCGCCGGCCCCTCGCCATCCTCATAGTCGGCCAAACCGGCGCCGGCAAGACCCGCCTAGCGCCCCTCCTCCGCCGCGCCATGACCGCCTGCCACCCCTCCCACCGTTCCCCGGCCCACTTCATAGCCGACACCTACAAGACCTACCACCCTCACTACGCCCCTTGCCTCGCCCAGTTCCCCCCGGCCCAAGCCTCCGTTCTGGCAGGGCTGGACGCCCGCCTCTGGCTGCAGATGGCATGCCAGCACGCCGCTGAGGCCGGCATTGATGTCTTGGTGGAATCTGCATGCAGGCATCCAGATGACTTTTGCAAGCTTGTTGAGATTTTTGCAAAGGCCGGGTATACAGTGAAAGTGGCCATCTTGGCGGTGCCCGAGGGGGTGAGCAGATTGGGATGTTTGGTCCGGTATTGGAAAAGGCTACCGGAGGCTGGATCGAGGGGACTACCTGTGAGACTGACGCCGAAGAGGGTGCATGATGAGAGTTATCAGGGGTTGGTGGAGGCGGCGAGGTTTGTGGATGAGAGCGACGCAGTGGATGGGGTAGTGGTCGTCAGGAGGGGGGAGGGGGTGGCGTTTTGGAATGAGAGGGTTAGAGTGGAAGGGGATCGGGAAAGAGTAGAAGAAGAAAGAATAGGGGAGAGGACGAGGAGGTGGGTAAGGGAGCCTGCTGGGGGAGCGTTGAAGGCGTTGGAGATTGAGAGGGTCAGGACGCTGTCGGTGGAGGAAAGGAGGATTGTGGAGGAGGATGTTGAAATTTTGAGGAAGCTGGGGGATCCAAAGGTGCATCTAGAGATTGAGGATATTCAGACGTTGATGGGTGGTATTGGAGCTGGGTTTATTGGGCCATTTCCGCCTTTGGAGCCCTTTGATGCGGATAAGTTTGCTGGGAGTGTTTTGGGGTGATGGTGATATTCACACTAAGGGCACATTTATCGCTAAGTATCACTACGTTACAGTACTTCCACCCTAACTGAACGCTGGAAGCCATTCACAGGAAGAACTCATGAGTTCTAGTACGCAAATACCCTGACATGGTACTAGGAGGTAAGATCTGTATGTGTGACATTTTCGGACATCGCCCTTCCGTAGACTTCTCTCCAACTATGTCACTCCATTGGGTATACAGAGATCTCGTCGCTCCAACCTTTGTCGTCTGAACTCTGCGAATACTCTCCCGAGGTTGTTTTCATCTGAACTTTGCTGGATCCTGTTGTACACCATCTCCTTGTCTCTCAAAATATCACGTATAAGACTCTCGTGGACTCAGATAACTCTCCTTCTCTCCACCATTCTACCATAAAGCTTCCAGTTTTCTCAGTTTCATCTTCAGGATCCTTCTTCTACCCTTGCGGATTCATCTTGATCAAACTAACGCTGCCCTGTATTACGCTCACTTCCCAATTCATCACCAGGTATCGAATCCTTCACTGGCTCACCTAAACACCACGCCTCACTATTACTGCCAGCATCTCCATCATTATCATCATTACATCTTCCAACATCTTTCTCACACAAATCAAGAATCCGTGCTTGGTATATCAACTCTTCGCCCGCTTCTCCAGAATGCCCAGAGGCAAAGCCGGCACCGGACGACCCAGGCCGATCTTCAAAGGGCTCAACATAGCCCTCTCCGGCACCTTCCACGGCCAATGGACAGACACGAACATCTCCAGATGGGTGAATCTCCGAGCCGGCACGTTCAGCTGGCGGATGAGCGAAGACGTGACCCATCTTGTCAGCACAAAGGAAGAATTTGACAAGAAGGGTCCTAGAGGTGAGTTTTCTGGTTATTCTCCTGCTACCATGCCATAGCGAGACTGATGACATACATATGTGACGAGCAAATATTTTTGGTATGGCAGTGTAAGATCAGAACATGGTACTGACATATACGATCCGAAACAGTCAAAGAAGCACTGGCACGCGCGTACAAAAAGGACAAAAAATGTTATCTCGTCTCCTTGGACTGGCTTGAGGATTCGATCCATAAAACAAAACGGCTGCGCGAGGACGAGTTCTCTCATGTGGCCACGCTCAAGGCCTTGAAGGATAAGGCTAGGCTGGAGAAGAAGATTGCAAAGGGTGTAGAGGAGGAGGATAGGGCTGTGAATCAGAGTAAGTTTGGCCCTGGGATTTTGCATTCCAAACATATCTTTGATACAACACTGTTGACTGATATTCTTTTGTTTAATCAGACCTCTACCGCGTCTATTTCGACCCGACCGACTTCTTTGAATACAACATTACTCTAGCAAGGGATGATGAGGAAATGGGCGTCACTGGTGAGAGATACGTGGTCAAGGTGAGCTTTCTCTTTAGGGGAATCCTTTTCCGTCTGACAACATCTCGAACGACTCATACACAACCAACCTTGTCCCTTCAAGCTTCATCAAACAACTAACACCAAGCAGCTGTACGAATCCAACGCCCTCCCTCATCTTTACCACGTGGGCGTCAGGTACTACAAAAGCAAGAAGGACACCATGCCGAAGCTCCACCGCCTTACCGAAACCCCGGGTAATTTTCAGCGGGAGTACGAATCCTTCAAACGCTTTTTTGAGATCAAAGTCGGATATCCTTGGGACGAGAGACTGGTCAGGGGCGTGGGAAGTTTGGGAGTGAAGTTCTTTTCTTATCAGCCGCCGGTGAGTGCACATCTTTTCCACCATTTCGCCAACAATACCGAGTGATAGTAAGGCCAGTAGGGAAAGTGGTACTGACCTAACCTCGCTCTTTTCATAGACGGGTGGTAAACCAGTTGGCTGGGTTCCACAAGAATACATTCCCAAGGAGCCAACTGCGCCTCACGAGGCAGAAGACAACACCTGCTCGCAGTCTATGACGATTGCTCAGCCTGCCCTGAAACTCAACTCTGGAGTTACCCATGGAGAAGAACCTACCACTTCATCACAGGAAGGGAGTCAAGGTCAAACGCATCAGAACGACCAAAGCCCGTATCTTGATGAGTCTCAGTACACTGAGTCTCCTCATACGCCCCAGCATGACAGGCAGGAGACTTCAGAGGAAACAACAGAAAATATGCTGCCCACACAAAGAGCAGTCTCCACTGGAGAAAATGCAACAGTCACCATAATGCCAGTGGTGGACAGTGAGACACAGGTTTTCTAACCATATTCATCGCGACAAGAAAAGGGAAGGCATGTGAAGGGAAGTCTTGCGCAGGAGAAACATGATTTGAGATATATCCAGTCCAGAGAAGCGAGAACCAAAGTGCCGATGAATAAGAAAACACAGACGGATAATTACAAGGGGCGTTATGGGAGGCGCGTATTGTCGGGGGTTCAACTTTTGCTTGCACACAGTCTTTCATAGAACAATACCCATTAGCAAAGGGGTAGTAAGGGAGACATGGGCGATTATATCCCGACTTCAGTTCAGGTGTATCATACCCTGCCAAGTTTAGTCCATTAATCATAGCGTTGAATTATTATTTCCCCAACACCACCAACCTGCCCCTCTCTCTCCAGCGCTTCAGTGACCCCCCCAAAGTTCACACCACCCATCAACCCCCCTCAAAACCTCAACTTGGGCAACACAAAAACCACCAACAACAGCACGACCATCAACCCATAAACATACGCATACAACATCATCCTTCCCCACCACCCTTCTCCCTCCGTCATCCTCTGCAACGTGCTCATCTTGCCCGTGACCCTGGTCATGCCCTGCTCCGTCTTATTCATGCCTTCGCCCGCCCTCTCCAGCGTTTCTTTATCCTCCTCCAGATACGACGAAAAGGCCTGCGAGGAGGCCTTCAGCTCGGTGGCGAGTTTGAGGATGGACTCGGAGAGAGCGTCTTGCTCGGCCCGCTGGGTGTCGAGGATGGCTTCGGCGGTGGCGGAGATCGTTCCGGGTTGCGATGAAGAGGTTGTTGTCGTGGAGTGCGGGAGGAGGGAGGAGGATGTTGTTTGTGCTATTGGCTTTTCGTTGGCTGTGTCATTGTTGTCATTGTTGGGCTGCCGGCGAGGGCGAATTATTTGTGTGGTGGTTGTCTCGGAATAGGGTTGCTTTTCTGAAAGGAGTTCGGGCTGTTGAGTCTTTGTCTCTTCCATCGGTCCCTCCGTCCCTTGCTTCTCGTTCAATTCCTGGTCTTGTGGCTGCTGCTCCTTTTCTTCTGCGTTTGGTGCTGCCTCTGCTACCTGGTCCTGGTCGTCGCCCCATCCGTGCTCTTCCTCCTCCTCCCCAAGTACAGGCACACCGGGTGATTTGTTGGAATCGAGGCTCTCGCTTGGCGTTGCTATTATGTCGGCAAGAATATCTTCGCTGTCGGACGTATCTTCCCCATTATCGCCCTCCCCTCCATGCCTGCTGGCCTCTTCTGCTGCGGCGATCTCGGCCAAGTCACTCAGGCGCTCCGTAAGCTGTTCAATAATTTCTCGCTTCCGAATCAAATCGCTTTGGATCTCGTTCTTCCGGACATGGATTTTGACCCCTAATGCCTCCTGCTCTAGCTTGGTGAGGAGTGATCGGGCATAGTTGATATTCTGCGGTTGTTCTGTTAGCATGTGGGGCATGGAGCGTACGTCCCGAATGGCTTCATACTGCTTGCGCCTTCTCTCTTTCATACTCGCTTGCCCGTAGCCTGGCTTCGCGCTCGGCGTCAGCGCGCAGGATGGTTTGTTGGAGGCGGTTGAGAAGTCGGGTCAGATCCGTCAGAGGATCTGCTGGGCGCGCAACCGGTGTAACGCCCGTTGTTGTTAACCCGGGAATATATCGAACCATTGTCTGTGTGGTGGTGATATGGAATTGTTGGTTTTGTGTTGCGGTACTCGCAGCTGTTCTGAATGCGATCACAAGGTTCAAGTTGTTGATGACGATGTTTCAAGCGCAAGTTGGGGGACATTGATGGACAAATGTCCTGTTGGACTTGGAGCCCGGCCGCACTGTGAGGCGCGAGCTTGTGTGGGCCGACAGGGGCCTTCCATTAGTGCAACACTAGGTACCCGTAGTGCTGCAGAGCCAAAAGCCCGACTAGCTCCCATAACCCTAACCCCTTCCTCTGGATAGCACTTCCGAGATGTGACCTCGTCCCTTTCACGACATGAACTGTGCTACCAGAACGGCAACGACTATCACATGGCCTGGGGCATTATGGACAGGCTTTATATTCTTATCATGCCATATGCCACTCTTGAACCCATAGAACAGTCAGTCATGTGAAACAGAAATATCCGCGGCCGATGGAAATCTTATAGGGATCCACCGACTTACACAAAGAGAGGGTTAGGGTCGGTTCTTACTGAGTGGGTTAAATTCCCCCAGAGCTCTCGAGGGGAGGAAGGTTGGTGGTGTATCACAGACCGAGGCCGGGGAAAGGGCATGAAAACACCCGCTGAACCGAGAGCTTGAATATTTTAGCCTTCCTCGTCCTCCTTCTTTGTTCATAGGCAACTAAACAATCGAGCTCAATTACTGCTCAACTGCCCACCAATTCGGCCACCACCATGACCCGGTTGGCCGTGACTCGTGCGCTGCGGAGCATTCCGCGGGCCACCATCTTATCGAGACCACCACAGTTCCCCAGAACCCCATCTTTCAGGAACAGGGCTCCCCCCTCTTTGGCCAACTACAACACTCGCAACCTATCAGTAACTACTCGCCGTTTGAGCGACGACGAAGATGAGAGAAAATGGTCAACTCCTCTCGCAAAGCAGCTGGCTGAGGCCATTACAGTATGTTCACAAAATCCTCAGAAAAACTTGCAAGGAAATGTTCTGACATCAAGTACAGGCGACCGGCCCAGTGCCATTGGCCAGTTTCATGCGCATGTGCCTGACTGGCGACATTGGCGGTTACTACACCGGCGCCATTGAGAAATCCGAGCAAAACCGTGACCAGTTTGGCGTCAAAGGCGACTTCGTCACTTCGCCCGAGATCTCCCAAGTCTTCGGTGAGCTCTGTGGGCTTTGGTATGTCACCGAATGGCTGGCCCAAGGTCGCCCGAGTAAAGGAGTCGAACTGATCGAGGTCGGCCCGGGTCGTGGTACCTTGATGGATGATATGCTTCGGGTAAGTGTTGTGTCCTTTCTCATCATATTCTCACGCAATAAAGGCCGGGCTAATCATGCAACATCAGACCATACAAAACTTTCCAGAGATGGCTAAGAGCATCGATGCTGTTTACATGGTCGAAGCCAGTCCCCAGCTCAGAATGGCCCAGAAGAACCTTTTATGCGGCGAGGACGCCGCCATGAGCGAGTCGAAGGTTGGCTATCATAGTCATTGCAAGTACGGAGACATTCCCATCGTCTGGACAGAGACCATCAAGTCCATCCCCTACGGTATGTCGTGTCTCCTTTCACACTTCCCACCAATCTCCCCTTTCTGTCGAGCCCCCAACTGACACCATGCCCTCCTCCACAGACCCCGAGAAAACCCCCTTCATAATGGCCCACGAATTCTTCGACGCCCTCCCCATCCACGCCTTCCAACTAGTCCAAGTCCCGCCCACAGAACCAGCCCCCCCGTCCTCCATAGCAACCATCACCACTTCCGGCCCCAAACAGCCCAGGACAAGCAGCACCACAGGTCCAATCCTCGAATGGCGAGAACTCCTCGTCTCTCCCACTCCCCCCTTTTCAACACACACCACCCTCCGCACCCCGGCCTCTCATAACCCGCACCTCACCCCTCCCCCCGACTTCCAACTGACCGTATCCCCTTCTCCCACGCGTCACTCCCTGCACCTCCCCGACCTCTCCCCCCGCTACCGCGCCATCAAATCTTCTTCTTCTCCTTCTTCTTCTTCTTCTTCCTCCTCCTCACAAAAGCCCCTCGCCGTCCTCCCCGACGGCACCACCCAAGCCGGCGCCCTCATCGAAATCTGTCCCGACGCTTTCCTGTTTGCCTCCGACTTCGCCACCCGCATCGGCGGATCTCCTGCCCATCCCAAACCCTCGCCCCGCGGCGCGGCGCTGATACTCGACTACGGTCCCGGCGACGGCAGCGTCCCCGTCAACTCGCTGCGCGGGATCAGAAAACATCACCTCGTCAGCCCGTTTGCGGAGCCGGGGTTGACGGATTTGAGTGCTGATGTGGATTTCACGGCGATTGCAGAGGCGGCGACGAATGCGAGCGAAGGGGTGGAGGTGCATGGGCCCGTTGAGCAGGCCTGGTGGTTGGAGGGGATGGGAGGGAGGGAGAGGGTTGAGCAGTTGGCGAAGCGGTCGAAAGGAGGAAATGATGAAGAAGAGAAGGACAAGTTTGTCAAGGACTTGAGGAGGAGCTGGGATCGGTTGGTGGATCGGGGACCGAATGGGATGGGGAGGATATACAAGGCTTTGGCCATTGTGCCTGAGAATGATGGGAGGAGGAGGCCAGTTGGTTTTGGAGGGGATGTCGTCATGTAAAACCTACCTAGCATGTTGTGTCTTTGAACTGTGTCCTGAACCCAGCCAGGTCAGCTTGTACTGTATGAGCAAGATTTTCATGTCTGTTATACGCAAGGAAATGGAATAGGCTATCATTATCTTTTTGCCCATTCGGCCTCACCCAGCCTAGACTTATTGTACCGCTCTTGATCTAAACGACAAAGTTCTAAGAAAAGAATGAAAAAGTGGAAAAAATAATAATACAGCCACTTAGGAAACGCCATCAAGAACAAGTGTGAAAACAGATCGACAAAACATATGATGCACGGCCATGTTGCCTCAGTCACAAACCGATAGTGCACTTGGACTGCTTCTCGTCAATACAATTAGACTCGTAATAGTTATTCTAATTCCCCAACTTGGACTTGATGTGATTAGATAGCCCCTCTACTTCTTGGCTCTCACTAGATTACCCTCCTCGTCACTATCCTCGTCAGACGAGAATTTATCGCCATCCTCGCCGACCGCAAAGATGGTCTCTCCGTCCATGGAGTCACGTTGAGGGTTAGGACTCCTCGGTTGTTGCTGTTGCTGCTGGGATGAGCTGCTTGGGCCAGCAAGATTTCGTGACTGCTGCTGACTAGTGCCAGCACCCGAACCCGAGCCCCCGTTTGCACTCTGGTTCTTCTTTCCCTTCATGCCAACCTGGGCCTCCTCGTCATCACTGTCATCCGGCGCACCAATATCCAAGTTCGAAAATTCGATGATGCCGTCATCGTCCTGAGCAATCTCGTCACTCATGGCAAACCGCTTGTTGTTCGCTGTCGGCCGCCACACATACGCAATGAAAGCGACATCGGCAAAATAAACAAGGTTCGGCCAGCCATCGAGAATGAACCATCTGCTCTTCCAGTGGAAGGGGACGTATCCAGGGTCGCTGGCCTGAGCAAACGAGAAGCTGTTCCAGAAGAAGAATCCAAAGATGACCAGGATGGAGATGAGAATGCACCACCACAGCTTCCTGTACATGCCCTCCTTAACGTGCTGCTTGCGCTCCTTGAGGTCCTTGAGTGTCCAGCTAAGCGAGTTAAGCGTCCACACATAGAAGGCCGTCAGGGTACCGGCCAGAGGAAGGATGATGAGTAGAACAAAGGGGCCAGCGCTGTCTGGGTTGACAAGAAGACCGGTAATGGCGTAAACGATACCGAAGACGAAGTGCGCAATAGCGAGCCAGCGGACGTAGATCATGGTGCGGCCGAGGGTGTGCTTGACGACGCCGTAGCCCATGCAGACAATCAGGAGGAGGAAGAATGAGAAGGAGTTGCGCGCAGCGTTGAGGACGGCCACCACGATGAGGAGCACACGGGAGCCGACGTTCGAGCCGTGGCGGTTGAGGAAGTCTGGAAATGGACAGTGGTTAGCAATCATTCGAAGAGGAGGACCAACTACAAGCAAAACGTACCATAAAAGCCCCATGTCATCAGCATTTCAATGACGAGGAAGATGAGGATAGCTGTAATGTAGTTCTGCACAGCCAAGATATCCGACCGGTGCTGGAAGTAGAGGAAGCCCCAGAACGCCAACACCAAGGCGTACAAGATGGTAATGCCGCCATAGAAAGGCAACTTGGGAATCTGCGTAGCGGGGAGCTCTCCATAGGCGTTCCGGAACTCGACAAGGGCCTCATACCTATCGGCCGTGTACTTGTCCGTGAGCACGCAATAGTAACCGGTGTTCTTAATCTGGTACTTGACTGGAGCTGACTTCTTGAGATGAATGGCGTCGGTGAAAACTATGTTCTTGGACAGCGCAGTGGCGTTGGGTGCAAGGATGTACTCGCCCACGTTGGTGGTGTTGCAGTAGCCGGCATCAACATACTGGGGCTCGCAGATGCCAATCCTACGGTCGGCGCCCTCGGGCAGCACACCGACGAGATCCGAGTCCTGCCACTCAAAGATAAGGAGACTGACAATGGGGTCGTCGCCAGCGTCGGAGCCGAAGTCTGTGAACTTGACACTGATGAAGGGATTGACCGGGCCATCCCATGTCTGTTTGCTGTACATGCCTGCACATCGTTGCCGGTTCTCTTCGGATTCGTCCTGCCATTGAAGAGAACTTGTCAGTATTTCTGACTTGTCTAGTGTAGGACCATTGATGTGCGTGTGGCCTGCTACTTACTAGTTTCACCTCCAGGGCCTGTACCGTCCATACGGACAGCACCAGGAGGAAGAAGGCATACGCCCAGCTCCTCATCGTAGCTGCTCAAGAGAATTGCCGGTTCTCAGCCGTCGTATAGGGTAGGGGGTACTGTGGCGGTTTGTACAAATCGTTGGTTCGTTTAGCAGTGCCCCCAAGGTTGCTGCTCTTCCTGGTGTCTCCGGAAGAAGAAATGGGTCAAGGAGAGGACGGGGTTTGGTCACGAAACATGGGGTTCGCTATTCTCGGTTACGTTTGCGGCTTCGATAGCTCGTGGGACGAATGAGGTGTCGATGGTTGAAACTCGAAAGGTGCAGAAAAGCATGTGAGGGAGAAGGGAATCGAGGCGCGAGGGAGGCGGATGGGAAAGGAAGATGGCAAAAGTTGAGTTGAAACAGTGGTCGTGGAGCTTGGAGGTCGATCAAAACCAAGATGCTGGAGCCATTTGGCCGCCGTGTCCCCTCCAAACTAGGTGTAGACGGTACTACAGTAGTGTGCTTGTGTCAGGAACTCCCTGGCACTTCCAGGTTCCTGTGCTGTTGCGCATCCAGCACAGCCTCACAGCTTCAGTTGCAATTAATATGAGCACAGTAGCGCTCACACTGGCCGAGTCCCCTGCTGCTTCTAAAACCGGCCCAAAACGGGCACCTCAATGGCCAATGTTCTGGGGGACTGTTCCAGCTTCCGGGTACAGTGCGGGTTGTGGGGGCGGCTGACGAAGCTCACCTCCATGTCATGGATGTCCTGCAGGCGGATAAGATAAGGCCTGGGGCCTGTGGGACCTTCCGGCCGTTGAAAGCTAAGGAACCACACCACTTGGTAACCAAAGGGACCGGGATCTCTCCAAGTTCTAGACTTTGTCGCAAAACACCACCATCACCAACCCGCCGGCTCGACAAGATGGGCAAAGGAACAGATAAACTATACATCACCCACTCCGAGTGGTCGTCCTCGGACGCGTACGGCGCCAGTACCGGTGCCAATGCCGGTGCGCGTGCCCAGCGGCGCGGTGCCAGCTTCAAGAAACTTCCCTTCAACTTCTGCGCCGCCAGTCTCCAACCCTTCAAGAACCCCGTCTGCACCCCCGACGGCACCATCTTCGACGTCGAAGTCATTGGCTCATGGCTCGAAAAACACAAGACGAATCCCGTCACCGGCGAACCGCTCTCGGCCAAGGATCTGATCAAGCTCAACTTTGCCCGCAATGGCGACACCACCGACTCGGACGAGAACAAGGGCGACCTGATCGATCCCGTCACCTTCAAGGTCTTCACCGACAACACCCACATTGTCGCCATTCGCCATGGCTCCTACGCGAACGTCTTTGCCTGGGAAACTGTCGAGCGCATGAACATCAAGCCCAAGATGTGGCGCGACCTAGTCGACGATGAAGAGTTCGGCCGCAGGGACATCATCACCCTCCAAGACCCCCAGAACGTCTCCGCCAGCCGCGATCTCAGCCAGTTCAAGTACCTCCAAGACGGCCAGGACGCCATTCTCACCAAAGAACAGGAAGACGAGCGCAAGGGCGGCAGCGTCAACATCGAAGCCCTCGGCCGCGTAGGCGAAAAGGTGCTCCGCGCCAAGGAAGCCGTCGAGCGCGCCCGCGCAGCCCGACAAGCCGGCGGCGCCGACGTCAACCGTCTCACCCAAGCCCTTACCACCACTTCCACCAACTCCGCCACCAACAATAACAAAACAGCCATCGCCCGCGGCCAATCCCTAATCCAAGAGCGCAAACGCCCCGCCAACGCAGCGACCTACACAACCGGCCTAACCGCCGCATCCTTCACCTCGACCGGTCTGACCCCCTCCACCTCCGGCTCCCTCGCCCTCTTATCCGACGAGCAATACCTCCTCAAACCCTCCCACCGCATCAAGAACAAAGGCTACGTCCGCATGGAAACCAACCTGGGCCCGCTCACCCTCGAACTCCTCCCCGAATTCGCCCCCAAAGCCGTCTGGAACTTCCTCCGCCTCTCTGAAAAGGGCTACTACCGCGACGTCGCCTTCCACCGCTCTATCCGCAACTTTATGATCCAAGGCGGCGACCCCTCCGGCACCGGCCGGGGCGGTAGTTCCATCTGGGGCAAGAATTTCGAGGATGAATTCGAAGGGCCCAACACGCATTCCGCCCGCGGAATCGTATCCATGGCCAACAAGGGCAAAAACACAAACTCGTCCCAGTTCTTCATCACTTACCGCCCCGCCTCCCACCTGGACAGGAAACACACCATCTTCGCCAAAGTGATTGAGGGGCAAGACACGACGCTGACGGCCATGGAGAATGTGGCTACCGATGGATCGGATCGACCGTTGAACAAAATTGTGATCAAGGATATGATTATCCTCATTGATCCTTTTGCGGAGTGGATGAAGGAGAAGAAAGAGAAGGAAGGGGAGGAGGAAAGGAAACGGGAGGTGGCGAGACAGGGAGGCACAGAGGATGATCGGACAACGTGGACGGGGAAGAGGATAAGGGCTGATGGGACAATGGAGGGACAAGGAATGGGAGAAGGGGGAGGAGGACCCAAAGTGGGCAAGTATCTGGATGTGGGGGCTGTGAAGAAAGCTGCTACGACGACAACGACAACGACGACGACGACAAGGAAAGCAGAAGAGGAAGAGGTTGATACGTGGGAAGAACCGGTGAGGAAAAAGGCCAAGATGGGAGGGTTTGGGAATTTCGACGGATGGTGATTTTTTTCTTGAAGTAGTTTGGGTTGATATCGATGTCAGTTTGTTTTGTGCACATTATAGCAACTCTTGGAGTTTGGTTGGGCACGTTGGTACTCAGTGGACATGGCATAAATTGCTTGGTTTCGGCTTGTTTACATTAGGCGTTGATAAGGACAAAAACATTGCAACGAATATATACCGCTGAGGAGAATTGCGCACTACCTAGTAAACCGATACTCTCATCAGGCCATTCATAGTCCTTCCATACTCTTCCATGTCGTTGGTATCTTTGCTGTTAAATTTGTACCTTCGTTTAGTGGTCTTTGGGTATGTTGATGTTGCTTTCCTTGTCGTCTTGACCTGTAGCAACGGTGCGGTATAGTCTTGGACAATTCGACCTATTCCTTTGACCGAGTGTCCAGCCAATCCAGGCAATTCTGGTTTGTTTGTTAGCTAAGTAAGTATTCCTGATATACTGGACAAAATCCTATTCTGAAACATTCCAAACCTCATAAAAATCAGATCAACGGCTAGGTACGGTTCAGAAGCGTATTGCAAGGATTCAATCCGAGCATATAAAGTTTCGGAATAGCATATTCAAGCTAAGATGACGCTTTGATCATGGAAGGCAACGGAATAATGTGAAGTCAAAACGCCTTATGAATTTGACTCGAGGTCTCGAGCTAACAACCAAACCAGTGTTGGATTGCTATCTAATTTCTTCAATCCGCATTGTACCTTTGCATCCAAGTTTGCAATCTCCAAATGTCACATCAGCTGGGGATCAATCATTCCTTTCCCATCCTCCATCATTACCGGCCCACCAAGATGGAACAGCTCATGTTGTTGCTGCACCACCCTCAAATACAGCGGTGTTTCCTCCATTCCACCCGTACTCATGCAATCCCGTCCTATTCCCAGTCCTGGCAACCATTGCGCATGTTCTTCTGCCCTATTCTCATTTCTATCCTCCTCCCCATCGGCGATCTCATGTTCTTCAAGCAGGTTGGCCACGGCATCTGCTTGCTTGACACCCGTCTCCATATAAAGTGTGCGTAGTCTGCCCACAACGTAGCTCTTCACCTGCCCGTTACATACCGATGACATCCCGACCATGTACAACGGCCAGACCACCGGGCTCGTCGCTGATACTAAAAGCACAAAGCGGCTAGCCTCTTCTTCTGCGTCCGTTGAAGCGGGTGTTACCGGGTGAAGGATAGTGAGGCTCGCGCATTGAGCCCTAGCCGGGTCCATGGGACTCTGGCTGCTGCCGCCGGAATCGGATGATCGGGTTGATGGGGATGTTGGTGGGCTGGGGGTTTCGCGGACTTCGACACTCGATATTGGCGTTGAACATGGATTGTCGACACTGCCGTCTGCAGAATCCACGAGCCCAAGCAATTGGGGCACACTGCCGCATATCGCCTCCAGGATTTCCTTCAACTTGCGCTTTGCGCCTTGGAACTGGTCTGCATAAGGGCCGGATGTTGGCTTTAGGCAGAGTCTCCGTGAAAGCTGTTGGATCTCACAGATGATCGTCTCCAACAAAACCATCCTGAGCATACGGAGACTGTTCCACAGCGTAGTATCCCATAGTGTGGAGTAGACATTGCAGACTCCATTCAGCACCGCTGGATGGTGTCTCGTCAGTCGGAAGGTTTTGTACGGTAGATCTGGAGAGAATTGGGCCGACAGTTGTTCGAATCGCTCATCAATGCTGAAAAGATGCGCTAGGATGTTATCTGAGTCTACCAGGGCCCCATTCAGGATGTCGGCACGCACTTGCAAGAAGTTGTGCATGAGTGGTAGCGCCGAGAGCGTAAGGCATCCGAAGCCCTTCAGTTGGATTGGTTGAGGCATTGCATGCCATAAGTCAATCAGTGGTTGCGGCATTGGCATGGGCTCTCTCGACTGCAAACAGCTCAACACAACCCGTTGGCAAAGCATCGAGAACATTTTGACCCCTCCTTTCGTTTCAAACTGCGCAGGTCCTCGAAGTTTTGCAAGAGCTACTGCGCCGTTAACGTGTTCTTGGAAAGCTTCAACAGTCCGCATGTGGGATGGATGCTCGGCTATCAGCTCAAAAAGGCCAAGAATAAGCACCGAGAGCATCGTAGTGTCTTTGACAGCTTCGATAGGTGTTTGCAGAGCGTGATTTGTTAATCGAAGAGCGGTCCCGTAAGATTTCCAAGCGGCTTCCATCATATCTGGCGAGCGGGTGACGCCTGCGAGACCAACCAGTCCCACGGCAGTCATACTAGCAAGGACGCCGTCAACATGCCGGTCGTGGGCCACCGATGTGGGCTTCCATATGTCAAAGACGAAACTGAAGTTGTGGTGACATGTCGTCTCTTCGACAGACACATATCGTGAGAAGAAATAGGCAATGCCTTGCTGTCGACAACTTGGGGGAAGGTCATACAAGAGGGCAACTGGCGGGGTAACTGGCCAGCTTCCCGAATCGGGCGACATCGGTATACTGTCGTCATCGTCCGACCAAGCAGCTTCAGGTGTCGAGCTCGTGGGCCTCTGGGGACTTGGGACGAGTAACGATGGTGATGTTTGTCGGCGTTCTGGTGTTATTGAGCATCTCGGATCACTGGGAGAACTGGGCGTCTTAGCAGAGAGACGACGCCGTCTTCGAGCTTTTTCCTCGGCCTTGTTCCGAACATGATCACTCTCATCTCGGAACATTAGATCGACAAGGTTTCTGTACCCAGGGCACTCCTCTTTTCGCTTCTGACACTGGCCACAGCCCGGTACTCTCTGATCGCACTAGATGCATGTCAACCAATATATTCTGTACATGCGCATTGCCTATGAAATCAATGCAAGCTAGAGGGCAGGCATGACGAATAATATGGGATGAGAGAGTTGCGGGGCATGTCTTAGAGCGCCGCCTCCAAATATCTGGCTGCTCATCCGCTGGGAGGAGTGGGGGCGGAGGTCCCTCTTGGGTATATATGGTTCTGACCCGGGAATATGGATAAAGGACATGGTGTGAAGGAGTTACCAGATGTGGTGACTTACCCGAATCTTACGTTTCCGGCACACAGAGCACCCTTTGCTTGGCTTCCCGCAGAACACCATGTTCACAACTATCGAAGGGCCGCACCGAGTTCAGTGGGTTTGATCAATAAAGTGACGAATAGGCCTGGGCCTTGGTGTTCAGCTGGCGTAGGGCGGAAATGGTTGCAGTAGCCAGAGGCAGCTCGACGCCACGGTTGTGTCCGAATCTGGTAAGGTACGATGTCCTGTACAGTTGGTCGAAAGCAGTAGGCGTTCGAGCAGGCGTACTGAAGATTGGATGTGGTCTGTATCAAAGAGGAAGGTCGCTATGTCGAGCCACTCGTCCTGGTTCGCTGCTTGTCGAATAAGGTGGTACAAGACGGACCTGCCGATGCAAGAAGGGATCCGGTCAACGGGCAGGCCGAACTTTACTTGATAAGTCAAAGCGAGCTTTGAAGGAGGTCTCGAAGAACGATATGTTCAATGAGAAGTCTTGTCTGAAGACTGGCGACCTTTTACATAGGTTTCGTGATGGTGCCGGTATGATGAGCCATGCCGAGCCTAAGCATGTCCGTCCGATCGGTTGTGCGTAGGGCTATGGCTATGGCGATGCTCAGATGGGAGGTGACAGGGACGAGGGTGACGGCTGTCTGTGAGTGGTGCTCTAGGGGCGTGGAAGACGTGAAAAGACAATCGCTGGGCTGGTTTGCCTTGCCTGCTCAGTAACAATACGCACAGCCTCACCGAAGACTTGGCAGGAACATGGAAGGTCAGGATGATGGCAGGTTGATAAAGTCGAAAAGAGAGCAAGACATGGCTACAAGTCTCATCCGCGAACGCCCCCGTAGGCGATGAGTGAGTTCCGTACTGGACTCATGACATGCCGGACTGGTACGGTATCATTTTACGCTGATATCTTCGGTCAGGGCCAAACCAATCCGCCGTGAGAGTCGTGGCGAGAGATGATAGCATGGCTGCTCGATTGGTGAGTGTGAGGTTGGTGAAGTTGGGGGAGTGAAGTTGAAGCTGCAGTGATGTTGTCGAAAGCCAAAGACACTTCATTGGCTGTGTCTCGACTACCCTTTCCTATTTGGGCTACCTGTGCGAGAGCAATATTGACCCACTTGAGCCACAAGGACCCGCTTGATGGTCTTGGCATAGGTAGACTACGGGACGGGATCAGGGGCATCTACAGTTGACTGATCCCCCGCAACGGAAAGCCGGATCTCTCCTCGAACCAGTTCCCTTCACAATTATGGATTTCGGGCATCTCAAAGGGCTGAGCATCGCCCCTCGTCGACTTTGACTTGGTAATGTTACTGATGTGCGGAACCTTTCCGGCATGGTTTCACCAACACTCTACATCTCTGTCATCTGCAAGATCGAGCTAAATTTACCTGGAACCGTCCCGTCATTGCATATCTTGGACCATTTCAGGTTGAATATGCCTTACCTCCCGTCTCTGAACCCTTGTCCAGCCCATTAGGGCACCAGTAGTGCGTTCCACGAGTCAATATGAGATATGGGAGCTCTCCTCCCATTGCCCCAAAAACGAATAATGAGCCCAGACCCTTCCAGAACGCCAGCTGTTACACAACACCATCATGGCAAGCCTTAGAAACATTTAGCAATCATTCACAATACCATGAAGCATGACTACAGCGGGGTGCTCAAGCTTCAAGCAGCACCGAGGCTAACCGAGAAATAGACACACCGTCATCAGACGACCATATTCATTGCCCATATTGCTGGATTTGTGGTTCACTGAGGAATGAAGCCACAAGGGGCCTATGTGTTTCCATCAGCCATACCCACAAGGTGATATCAATGCGCCTTTGGAGCGTAAGGCTTCCATTCATTCTCATTCCGGACAATCTTTCGCTTGTTCTGACCAATCATTGTTATTAGTGGCTCAAAAAGCCTTACCTAGGTGTTCTTACGGTCATACAAAAGCCCCTGGAGCGCCCATCTGGAAGGCTTGGCCTGCAGGCAACTTTTGGGATTGTACACCCACCCATGCAGTGTTACCTTACCCTTTGATGGGCAGGGTACCAAAGACTCAGTGGAGATGGTGTGAAGGTAAATCCGTAGCTGCAATTCTATCTCTTTTCGTGTCCGCGGTCCGCTATAAACATACCAACAGAGGACTGATAGTGTCAAAATAGGATCCACTTGATAGTCTTGACAATTCATTCAGTTCCTTTGATCCGCCCTCTCAATCTACCCTGGTGTGGACGGTTTCGATAATCACAGTATGACGCTACAGATCAGTCATCTCGGTAATTGATAAGGACTATGATGGTCCTTCAACCTGCTTGGTTGATGTTGGTGATCTTAAAAAGTTCACCGAGGCTTTGCTTTATGAGCATTATCTTGTGACCTATCATTCAATATGTTCTGTCCAAGTCCCCTTAATTTTGTCACGGTGCTTCTCAAGTTCCAAACCACTGAAAATTTAAATTTACACCAACACAAAGTTGACTTGATGATCGAGATGTTACTGCACAAACTTCACATTTGACACCACAGAATATATGACGTGATCGGCAAGATAAGCGAGTATGTAGATCAGCCGTGGTGTAGTTCAGCTCGTCCGAATGTAACTGAGCAACTCGCCGCATCGGTTGAGGCAGAGTGCAGCGGCCTCTCAGATCTTGCCGTGTGATATCTCCTTGCCATCCATCTCCGCAAATTATATGCATTGAGCTTAGACTCGCTACCCGTTCCCCATCTTACCAACTACAAACATTTTCGTAATCGGGTTTTTGTATTATGAGAACCTGCTCATGCAACTTTCGACGTTAAGATCGGGTGTTCTCCACAAAACCGGCCCCATATCTCCGCCGTTTCGTCCGGGGTCCGGACCGGACACGGAAGAGGGGGCCAGCGTAGTGACTGGGTGCTTTCAACTGGTCTGTTAGGATTGATTCATTTTCTCAATCAGCTAATTCGCTGGGCTTTCCAATATTTTAAAATAATCTTGGTGAACCATGGAGCAAGAGAGACAAATTTGATACACTCCACAGTAAAGCTATCCCAGGGATTTTGGCAGTCCAAATATGCCAAGACATGGCACTACACTAGGTCCTACCTCTACCTAGGTATGATAGCAGCTCGGTGGGGCAGACTCGAAAGTTGCTATCGAGAAATCGCAAACCCATAGGTACCCCGCGATGACGGATCTTCGAACATCTTTTTCACAAAGACGATTACCATTTCGACTATTCCACGACGTACCGAAGGTTTATAGACGTCACTCATCCAATCACCGCGAGTCCCATGATTAGTCTATCAACATGCCGGTAAGTTCACTACCAGCTCATTCCTCTTCTGCTCTTCGTCGCGTCGCTAACCATCCCATCCCCCCGTCCTCCAGCTCATCCTCATAACCGGCCTACCCACCTCAGGCAAATCTACGCGCGCCGCGCAACTCTACGACTACCTCACCGAGCGCATCGCTGCTGAGTCCTCCTCTTCCTCGACACCCAAATTCCGCCTGCACCTGATCTCCGACCAAAGCCTGTCCATCTCGCGGTCCGTCTACGACCTCGACCCAGCGCACACACCAGCGCACGTCCGCTCCGCCAATGCCTCCGAAAAGGATGCGCGCGCCGCGCTCTACGGCGCCGTCAAGCGCGTGTTGTCTCCCAGGGACATTGTCATTCTCGACACGTTGAACTACATCAAGGGATGGCGGTACCAGCTCTACTGCGAAGCCAAGAACTTACAGACGCCGTTTGGTCTTGTACAGATTGGGTGTCCGGTGGCGAGGGCGAGGGGGGTTAATGAGGCCAGGATACGGAGGTCGGAGCAGCAGGAGCAACAGGAGGAGGAGCAGAAGGCAGGCAACGGGACGACCAAGGACGAGCCTACAACAACCTCAACCTCAACCACAACAACAACAACAACAACAACAGCAGCAGCAGCAGCAGCAGGAGCAGCACCAAAATCCGGCGACCTCTACCCCGAAACTTACCAACAATCCCACCAAAATTGGCAACAAAAGCAATTTGAAGAGGAATCCACCGGCCCGGACTTTGAAGACGTAACCCTCAGCCCCACCGATTCTCAAGAGCCCTACACGCCCCGCTCCAACTGGGAAAACCTCGTCTTCCGCTACGAGGAGCCCAACCCCATGTCCCGCTGGGACTCCCCGCTTTTCATCATTACCTGGGATGACACGCCCACCGATACCAAAGCAACATTTGATCAGATCTGGGATGAAGTCATCGTCAACAAGCCACAAAAGCTGATCCGAGCCAACAAGTCGACGGTGCAGCGCGATAAGGATCCCGGCGGCGATTATCTGTATGTCCTCGAAAAAGAGACGCAGGATATCGTCAAGAGGATTTTGGAGCAGCAAGCTGAGGTGGGAGAAGGTGGGACAGTGAGGTTGTCGAGGAGTGGAACTAAGGAAGAGGGGGAGGAGATGTTGGAGGTGGAGTTGCCGGGAAAGAAGGTGGGATTGCCGCAGTTGCAGAGGTATAGGAGGGCGTTTGTGGCGCTGAATAGAGGTGGCATTGGGCTGGAGGCGGTGGGGACGTTGGCGGCGGGGAGGTTAAGGGAGAGCTTCGTTGGGTATTTGAATGATGCCTTTGAAAAGGAGATGTGAGAAGGGCTGGGTGTAGGTACCATATGGTTAGAGACGGAGGATGCTACGGGTTCATATCCATTAAGGTGCACTCACCTTGTTCTCACAACACATAGCACTATTCAGCGCTCCATGGATACCCAAGATCAAATCAAACAAAAAACCATTGGCATTGACATGCTACCCTGTATTCAGAGAGTTGAATCCTGTCATCTAGACATCCTGAATCCGGTTCATTAACCCGTTCCAACCCGCAACACCTCAACCGTGAACCCTTTTTGTAAACCCATTTTCCCTCCATCCTTATGTGACCAGGTATCTACGCCTTTTCCGAATTTAAGCAGCCCAGCTCTCCAAGTTCTTCAACACACACCACTCGCCCTTCTCGCCACCCTCTCTGTTGACCAGCTTTCCAATGGTGTAGACCTTCTCGCCCTCAGCCTCCAAGCCCTTGACCACGGCATCCGCAGCCTCAGGAGCGACAGCCAAAACCATACCAACACCGTTGTTGAACGTTCTCGCCATCTCGGTAGGGACCACAGACTCTCTGAGCCACTTGAACACAGGAGGGTGTTCCCAGGTAGCGACGTCGATCTCGGCGGCCAGGTGCTTGGGGAGCATGCGAGGGACGTTCTCAGTCAAACCACCGCCGGTAATATGCGCCATACCCTTGACTGCCTCGCCGGTCTGAGCGAGGACCTTGAGCAGAGGCTTAACGTAGATGCGCGTGGGGGTGAGAAGGCTCTCACCAACGGTGGCAGAGCTGTCCCAGGGTGCCTTGTCAGTGTAGGACAAGCCGCACTTGTCGACAACCTTGCGGACAAGGGAGAAGCCGTTCGAGTGGACACCAGAAGAGGCAAGAGCGATGAGCACATCGCCCTCGGCCATGGCCTCCTTCCTCGGAAGACGCTGAGTCGGCTTCATGACACCGATAGCAGCACCAGCCGCATCATAGTCATCGCCGGTGTAGAGATCAGGCATCTCAGCCGTCTCTCCACCGACCAGCGCACAGCCGGCGTCCTTGCACCCCTGAGCGACACCTTCGACGAAAGCGGCGGCAACCGAGACGTCGAGCCTGCTGCAACCGTAGTAGTCGAGGAACATGAACGGTTCAGCACCCTGAACAACCAAGTCGTTGACGTTCATAGCAACCAGGTCGATACCAACAGTGTCATGCTTGTTCATCTTCTGGGCGATAATGAGTTTGGTGCCAACGCCATCGATAGCGCCAACAATGATGGGGGCCGAAGGGTATCCGGCTTGAGAAAGATCGACCTCACCACCGAATCCACCGATGATAGCATCAGCACCGGGGCGGCGAGTAGTGGCGACAGCAGCCTTGATGCGGTCAACAAGCTCGTTACCAGCGTCAATGCTTACACCTGATTGGGCATATGTAAGCTTGTCGGACGAAGACTTTTCGTCGCGGAAAGCACGGTGAGCAATGTCCTTGCGATAGTACATGCCGTCAAAGTTAATGAGCTTGACGCCCTCGTAAGCCTTGTCGACAGCGGCGCGCAGGGTCTCGCCAACAGCCTCGGCGGCAATAACACGACCACCGGAAGAAACGAGGGAATCGCCAGATAGCTTGGTTCCTGCGTGGAAGATGTTGGTACCAGCAGGAGGTGTAAATACCTGCATGGGAATGTTCTTGGGGTAGGAGTTGGGGTACCCGGGGGCAGCAACGACCACGGTGGCGCTGAACTTCTGCTCGACCTCGACGGGCACATACTTGAGGAGGGGAATGGGGCCTGAGCAGGCCACCATAATCTCAGCGAGGTCGGACTTGAGCAGAGGAAGGACGGTCTGGGTCTCGGGGTCGCCGAAGCGGACGTTGTACTCGAGCACCTTGGGGCCGTTGGGGGTAATCATCAAGCCGGTGAAGAGGCAGCCCTTGAAGGGGAAGCCGTCCTTGCGCATGCCGTCAACGGTCGGCTGGAGGATCTCGCGCTCGACCTGCGCAAGCAGAGCAGGGGTGGCAATCTTGGTGGGCGCATAGCATCCCATACCGCCCGTGTTCAGGCCAGTATCGCCCTCACCAATGCGCTTGTGATCCTGGGCAGCAGGCAGAGACTTGATGGTAGTACCGTCGCAGAAGGAGAGGATGCTGAGCTCGTCACCGGTGAGGAACTCCTCGATAACAACCTCATCGCCGGCATTGCCGAACTGCCTATCCAACATAATGTCTTTGAGAGCCTGCTGGGCTTCCTCCTGGGACTCGGGGATGATGACACCCTTGCCAGCAGCCAAACCGGTGGCCTTGATGACAACGTTGTGGCCCACCTTCTTGAGGTATTCGCTGGCCTTTTCAAAGTCGGAGAAGTTCTCGTAGGCGGCGGTGGGAATGTTGTGCTTCTTCATGAAGTCCTTGGAGAAGGTCTTGCTGCCCTCCATGCGCGCGGCATCCTTGGAAGGCCCGAAGACGGGGATACCGACCTCGCGGAAAACGTTCTCGACGCCATCGACAAGCGGCTGCTCGGGGCCAGGGACGACGAGGTTGATGCGCTCCTTCTTGGCGAGATCGACAAGGCCAGCAAAGTCGTTCTCAGAGACGGTGTTGTTGTTGGTGACCTTGGGGAGGCCGGCAGTGCCACCGTTGCCGGGGACCGCAATGATTGACTCAACGCTGGGCGACTGGCTGAGCTTCCAAGCCAGGGCGTGCTCGCGGCCGCCGCTGCCGATGAGGAGAATGCGTAGTGACGACATTGTGGTTTGTGTTGTTGTTAGGGGTCTGGGTCGATGAGAATTCGGCGACACCAAATCCTCTTGACCTCCATTTCCATCAGCGGCAGGAGGGAAAGAGAGATGGATGGTTGGCGACCAAAAATTTCAACTTAGCCGTCGGAGCCCCTCCCCCGCAATCGCACTGGTTAAGCGAATGAAGAGTCACACGAATTGGCCAATCCCGCGTCACCTTTGGAGTCATTGCCAGATCGCTCCGAAAAAGGAAAGTGTGCTTGGGGCCTTTTACGCTGGTCGCTAGCTGATAACAGCTTAGCGGCTGCTGGGGATCGGACCGTGTAGTGCTAAGAGGCTTTCAGTCGCATGCGATGTTAGGACGCTATCTTCCTTCCATCCTTCAACTATTCACTTCTGCTGTTGACCTGCATCTACGTAGTATAGTCATGGACACTAATTCTCATCAGATTATGGTGACGGGGGTGCTATTTATCAACAGGAGATCGTATAGAACATTGCGCTGCTCTTGAGCTTACCCAATGGGTCGCAGTAGGCCAAGTATGTAAGCTGTCCCACTAGGTAGAATCTGAAGAATCTGCTAACCGTCTCCGAGAGCAAATAGCTGGCATCCAACGCGAGTTTCCCTTTTTACGCCCTGGTTTCCCCCATCTTCGTGTTCTTCTTCTTATTCTTCTTCTCCTTTTATATTTGGGAGGTAAAAAAGGAGGCTTTGGGGGCAAATCGTTGGTGCTGCTTCTCCCTGCCATAGCATATTAGCCAGAGCTAGTAGTTGGGGTGATGAGGTAGTACAGGATGTATTAACAAGCGGAGACCTGGAGTGGTGCCATATTATACCGTCGCATGGTAACCCCAGCCTGTGCTGTGCTACCTATCACAATGATACCAGGCCACAAAGACCATATCTTGGATATTTGCAGAGCTATGTGTCGACTCTTTCCTGACCTTATGTCCTTGTGTTCTGAACTCGGACCTCAGCTGAGGAAAACCCCAAGTGGCAGGCTGTTATGATATTCAAGGCCTTGTGGCCGGGTTATAGGTAGAGATATATGTTCCTATGGCTATTTTCGTGAGAGCATAGCTTGCGCGTGGTGGACGAGAGCATTTCACTTCTACTTCTGTAGAATGCCCAGTTTGCAAACCGCATATGTCGAGTCCGACATTGCTGAACATACCAGTTCGGATCCCAGCATCTTACGCATAGCGGATCCAGAGCATCGTGAAACCTTCGGGTCCGGGCTTTCGGGTTCGAGAAGCGTGGCTGACTGTGTGAGACAAAAGGAGCTTATTCTGTTGGAACAAGTTGAAAAGAAGAAACCTCAAGCGTAACACAGCTTTGTCGTCCAATGCGTCCTTCCGACAATGAGGCAACCTCGATGAGAGAACAAGGCGACGGGCGCCCACATGCTCAAATCCATACTTGCCGTGAGGTTGGTGCAGGGCAAACTTATGAAGTACCTCCTTGGATGTTCGTGGTTTACGATACTGGGAAATCTTCTGGGGTCGAGTTCAGAGGTTGGAAACACCAGAATCTGGTCGCTGGCATCCGCCGTTTACCAGTAGGTTCTTCGGTAGCAGTCAGCTTTCAGCACAAACGAGTCATGATCTACAGAAAAGGTGATCACTGGAGACAGTTGGACAACTACCATAACAAACTTGGAGGACTTCATGCTGAATGTCTCTGCGAGATCTCGATGCAAGTGCAACATGGCGGAGACTTCCTGAACAGGACATAAAGTCACGAAAACTGGACTGGAGAGGGATGTCGGTGTATACGGGAGCTCATCCGCCAGCTTGACAGTGACTTCATATGATGCCTGAGCAGCCTGCATCACCTGCCAATCGATCTAGGTTGCATTCGCTTCCAACATCAGGCGAGGGGAAATTCACAAAGCCGTTCGATACCGGGCAAGGTACACTACAGTACGATTCAACGGAGCGAATATCAGTGGGCGTCCTCCTTTACGTCGATTTCGTTCCGTTGTGGCGGACCAACAGCAAATCACGGGCTGCAATACTTCTGCTTGCGAGCTGGAAAAAGCAAAGCGCGATAGGGTTGGTTGACGGCAGATGGCGGGGACAGGTACCGGGCCGCTGTTACAGGTCAGTGCTTTTGGTTTGATTGTTAGTGAAATATCTCGTGGATAGTGCCTGATCTTCCAGTTTAACCCGACCTCTGGGCAACGGCCCCGCTTGAAACGGCGCATAAAAGTGGGACGAGCCGCAGTGTCTGCCAAATTGCCAAGTAAAATGGCTGATGCCCTGCTTCCCGTCCATCTTCTTTTTCACCTGATCATCAAATTCCATTTGCAGCCTTTCATCAACAGCCAGCCAGTCAGCCTTTCACCTGGAGTCCGGGATACAAACCAACCGGATGACTTGTCATTCCATCCGCGCCTACTTATGCCCAGGAAACCAGATGAAGTTCACTCGATGATGGTACCATATGCTCCTGCTTTGTATCGATCATCATGGCTCGGTCAACACTACATAGCTCATCATGAGTGTTGATGGCTAGACACGGTCAAATGAGCAGCAATTGAGTAGTGGCTACAGTGTGTTCAAGTGAGCAGTGTTTGTTAACAGGAATGGTCACCAGAGTTGAGACGGAACCGGTAAAAGACATGGGCCAAAAGAGCATCTCGCGGTTGCTATTCGAGAGTCGGGTTGCCTAGTCAAAGCCCAATTGCAACATCCACTGCCCTGCACTGCAGTGTTCAACCCACCAGTAATCACAGCTCCTCTGGTCACCTCGCATATCAGCAACATATCATGTACCCAAGACTTCCTGACTCCATTCATCGTTGCCCACGATATAGGTACCAGAACCGGTCCTACTTGGCCGCAATCAACGATTGAGATGACGCCATGTTACTATTCGAAACTCGGCTGGGACAGGTCTTAATAACGCCGTGTACAAGTCCGGCAACAGCTCGGCACGGTCTACGGCTATTATAGGGACCAAAGGGTGCTCCCGAGACAAGTACCGGGATACTGAAGAGGGGTCAACGGGATTCTTCTCTTTGTTCCTGTCTGGATATTCGGCTAACCCAACAGGTTTTGCTTCCTATGGCCAGCTTGTGAGACCTGCAGATCGCGTTGGCTGCAGCCACAGCTCCCCTGGGCAGAATATCGAATCCCTTTGAGTGCTGCACGAGCCTTCGTGTTGCAAAAAGATCACCCGCACCACAACCGTCCGAACACCCAACCCAGCCAACCACGAACCAGCTAGGGTGCCGTCATTGCAGGGCGACCTGGATCTGGCGGGTGGTCAGACTTTGCAGTCGTTCCTCGCCAGGGCCAGCCACACGCCCGGGAGGTCTTCAGAACAAAAGAAAAAGAAAACTCCCGATTGCATCGCCAAATCCGGACTCCAACTCACTAGCCACCACCGCATCTCCACTAGTGAGAGCTGCGATGTGCTCTTGACAGTCGCCCCGCATGGATTTGCAGCTTGACGCAGTCGAAAAAGCAAGCGTCTGCCATGCGATCAGCAGGAGTACATACGGGAAGCAAGGGAACCTCTTGTTGTCTAAACCACCAGCCAGCTGCAGGTCTGTCCTTCACGAGAAACATACTAACAGTCAACAACGAGCTTTAGTCTCGAAAACCAATAGCAGCTAGTAGCAGAGCGTTCAATGCTGGAGAAGCCATATGAATAGACAAGAATCCCAGAGGGCTGCCATGACTTTTCAACGTCATCTCACTGCTGCAACGACATCATTGGCAGGGGCTTCGATCGCTCTGAGCCAGGGGCCCAGGGAGGTGTGTGGAGGAGGGTCAATCCCACCCTACGTTCGACTTTCAAACCGCGGGGGAACACGAGAAAAAGTCCTTGGCACGCCGGTTACATAGTCCAACCTACAACATGGCTTATGCCACTCCCGGTGTTCAAGCCCGGCGATACCCTTCGACTACTATGTACAGTGGACTTTGGAGTGTCTTTGTGAGCCCACATATCGTGTTCGACATTCTCCTCACAATGCTACGGAACGCCACACGAAAACGGGCGGTTTTGTGATGTGTGATATCTAGCCCCAGTCTTCATGGCCCGATGTATGCTGTTGGAAAAAAGCAAATAGAAGGGATATGACCAACCTACGCTCTCCCCTACCGAATCTCGAGGGATAAGGCTATGGTCAGGGGTATGAACATCCACAGGCACACCTACCAGCAAGTTCAACACCAAGACCGATAGTCCTGGACCTTGGATCGGCGCTATGTGACTGTGCGTACCAGGGAGGCTGTCACTCCGGATGTGAAGGCCTCTCACAACAAGGCTTCATCATCCGGAAGTAAAGATACATTGGCACATACTAGGTACAAACCGTATATAGTGCAGGGTTAACCAAAATCAGCCGGATCTAGCAACTGTCTCCGTCTACGGCAGTCCCACACAAACTCCTTGACGGAGTTCTCAGTGGTACCTAGCTTACACGGCTTGGTGGTTGCCCAACCTCGCGGCCCTTCTCTGGATTTCCTGCGGACCATCCTTCGCTTCCCGTTGTTGTAACGCCGTCAACTCCCAAGGGCCCATCCCTCTCTGTTTTTGGGTACCCTGCAGTTCGGTGATATGGCAGCCAACCATGTCATTGCAAACATATCCATCTCTTCCGTTGGGTTCTCTGCCTACCTCTACCAGGCTACAGGGCCCTGGTGGTCTTCCTGCCCTTATGCTCCTGTCTTGCATATGTATAATAAGCCACTTTCCCGTTCCTACTGCAGGCCTTTTGTCTTTCATTCTGTTTCCCAGCCTTCTCGGTCAAGCATCCCCCAGCCAGCCTCCTCACTCAAAGTTACTCCTTCGCTAAGGTTACTTAAGCCCCTCGTTCGCTCAACCCGTCCTCACGATATCTGAACATATCAGACCCTCGTTACAAACCTCACACAACAACCTTTAGTCGACAAGATGAAGACCGCTCTATCCCTATTTGCCTTGGTCTCCTCAACCCTTGGAGCCAACATCCCTAGAGGTTGGGGTCATGGTGGTGATCACGTTAGCTATACTACCGAGGTGATCGTTACTTACACGACTGTATGTGGCTCTTTTGTTCTTCTCTCTTTCCCAAGAGGCTTTGATTCTAACGAAACTTAGGTCTGCCCCGAAACGACCACGATCACCAAAGGTGGTGAGACTATCACCAAGACGTACACTACCACCAGCACCGTAGAGACAAAGGTTCCCACCGTCATCACCGTTACCGACGTTGCTCCCCCAGTAACCAAGACGGATGAAGCCAGTATGTGTCCTTTTTGACCGTCTCAGCTCGATATGACTTGCTTACCATCAAAATAGTCATTTACACCACTATCACTGAGCTATGCCCCGTTACTGAAACCAAGGTAGTCGGCGGCTCTACTGTAGAGGTTGTCTGGACATCCACCTCCACTCTTTACACCAAGGTCCCTCATACCGAAACTGTCTACACCACTTCAGTTGCAACAGAGTATGAACACACCAACGTCTACGAGACGGTCGTATGCCCCGAGACGGTTATCACGACCGTCTCCAAGGGTGAAACCGTCTACATAACCAAGACCAATACCATTACCACGGCCGTCACCGAGGTTCACACCTACACCACCGTGATCCCCCAGACCATCACCAAGGCTGTTGATGTCACCATCCCCATTACCAAGAGCGCGGGCGTCATTGAGACCAAGTACTCGACTGTCGTCGTTTCTGCGAACAACACCATCTACACCTCCATCGCTCCTCCTCCTACCACCGTCATCCTTCCCACTACCTCAACCGTGGGATCTTCGCCTATCGGTGAGACCAGCGCTGCTGCTCCCCCTGTCGAGGGTGTGGCCAACGTTGTCATGCAGAAGAGCCCAGTTGTGGCACTGATTGCTGGTCTCTTTGGCGTTATTGCTTTCCTCTAGACTAGAGGAGTTTAGTCTCGGAAGCTGGGATGGAAAACGGTTAACGATACTAACGACGCTCCTTTACGATACCCTTCTATTCACATACTGCACGAGGATACGATTTCACGTCCAGCATTTTACATTTTGTGGGGAGGAAAAGGCAATGGTGGGAGGATATTTCGTTGGCTTTTAAGGATACGCGAGGAGATCTGGATGGAGGAGTTGAGAAATGTTTACATGATGACTTCACGGCCAGGTTGCTATCGGATCCGGACTCTCCTGAGAGATGGAGAACTCAAAGGGATTGGTTAACTGGCTGCGAAAAGGATATAATGAAGATACCATACCATTCAATTGTACATATAAGATAGAATCCCTCTCCGGGTTTATCCTGGAGTTTTAATCAAAGGATTCCAATCTATGCTCCTTTCTGTCTCTTCTTTCCTTATAGTGAGTGTCCTGGGTTTTTTTTTTTTTTTTTTTTTTTTTTTTTTTTTTTTTTTTTGGACTAGTTCGCGTCAACAGATACATCTCAGTATCGGACACCCAATATCTCCCAAAGGATTGCCGCCAGTACATGCCTGAATTAAACAGCCGTGCTTCGGCCCCTTGTCTACCTTACGTACCCGGTTCCACGTTTTCATTTATGTCAAGCTTGGCTCATCAGTGGAGCTTGGAGTTGCGACGAAACAAAGACGATGGACGAACGACGAGAGAATACTAGGTACCCTATGATCACCATGCTAGTATGTTTATGGATGTCTCACTATTGCCGAACGTGCGGACACTCTTGTTTGGACGGCAGTCAAGTCATTCACTACCACTACTATCACTACTTGGTTTCCTTCGTTTTGTTCACAAGGCACTACAAAACTTTATGGGAAACCAAACTTCGACATCATCCCGTTCAGGGCAGTCAACTAAAGTGCATGTGTCGGCAGTGCCTTCCTCTGCGCAAATAATGATACTCCGGTAGGTCTTGGGACTGGAATTGAAATTTCTCGTGAATTTCAGCGAGGAAGGAGCGACGCTGACGGTTGTCAGTTTTGCCTGAAGTTCTTTCCATCTTCGTGCCTGGTACATCTTGTGTGAGTTTGATGTTTTGGGCCACAGAACACTTAGTAGAAATTGAATACATCCAGCTTCACAACTACCTCTGATGAATGCCATTTAGTTGTTACGTGTTCATTCCTCCCAAGCCACGGTCGATTATATATCCTGTACACTGACCTGGTCCACGATGTGGCCCATCAACAAGATCCTATTAACGACACAATGAAGTTGCCAACAATCATATCGGCCCTCTCAGCACTCCTCACCATATTTCTAACCTCCTGGTCTACTCCCACCTCCGCCATGCCTATACATTTGCATCCCGACAAGACGAGCAATACTCCGCAAACGAGAACTCTCGGCGGCGTACGTAGATATTGATGTACGGGTTTGGACATTCACTTAACTTGTTGAACAGATCCTCATCTGTAACGGTCCTAACGCCTCGCAAATGTGTGCCTATAACGTCTACAAAATGGAAACTTGCTACAGCCTGCCGGAACAGTTCTTTCGGAATACCAATACATTCGCGCCGGATGAAGGGGAGTGGTATTGTTATCCTTATATGTGAGTGATGTTTTTATTTTTAGGCCAGTTAATCCTTTTCTTTATTGCTTTGGCCTTATATCACGTTAGTCTGTTCACTGCCGACCCCCTTCATCGTATCCGGAAATGGCAATTTCTTGCCCCAAAGTCGATGATACACGACATACCTTGGTCTCTTTCCTTGCTCCCCATACCATCCATATCACTTCACAGCTGAACACCCCCTCGTAATACAGAATCACATATACGACCTGCATATATACTAACCTCGAGCTTGAACCCCATCGGTCAACTCAACAGCATGTCTTGCGGAGAAATCTGCACCTCACCCGAAGGCTGTACTCTCGGCGGCGTGTCCTCCCAATATGAGCATAGGTTCAACCTCAGCGCTGTGGGATGGGACCATTATATCTCCTCGTTCGAGTGTCACTTGGGTGTTACTCCGTCTGTACCGTAGTTGTCCATCCCATGGCTAGGGCCCGGACTTGGGTGATGAGGTTCCATAACTGGCGCAAAGGAAACGGGAGAAGACTGATGATTGACGATTGTTGAATATCCCTTTGGCGGGGTGAGCAGTAGTGTGGTGGGAGATGTGTGATAATGGCGGAAAATGAAGATACCCTCAACAAGGCTCTCTCTGTCTTTCGTAGACATGCAGTTATCTCCGCTATCTTCGGGTCTCCCAGCCTTTCAATCACCGCTCCATGGAGAGCTGTGCGTTGTTGCTTTGCATATCCAATACCACAGAGGAAGTCGCAAACGTTAGAAACCGAAAACTGACGAGACTGTTGCATATGACAACGGATAATCCCGAAGGGGTATCTTCGGGCTAGGATCGGCAATTCGGAAATCTGACCCCATTTACAATCTACTGTGTTGTGCTGGTTTGTCTGTTGGCTCGGTACCGAGGTACTCACTCCTAGTTCACTAGACGAGATGTCTTCTGAATTGTCAAATACCTTTCAAGAACAAGACTCATGGCTTTGTACACTACCAATTAAAATTTAGCATGACAATACCTAGGAGAGTTTACCCGAGGTCTCGAGCTACAATCAAAACAAGAGTGTATGTGGACTGTACTCAACAACTCTCCCATGGGCCCTTGTCTCTTGGCAACCAATACCATGTACAGATGACGGCATTGCATCTTTTTACCGTGTTTTACCCCGCCTACAACCGCACTTAAGACAGCAGCAATCGGCAGTGAGCTTCAGGCGGGGCAAATGGACCTTGACAGCTTTGACCATTTACAGCTTCGATTGACTTCCGATTTAAAGGTGAGGAGAACAAGCCGATTATAGTGTCAAGATAGCCTTTTATCCAAGCGGGGTGTGACCTGATAAGTTTCTGGATTTATAATGATAACAGCTGGAAGCCTACAAGTACTATTTCACAGCTGTCCACGGCGGAATTTGTCATCTTTACTCTTTCCACTCCTCAACCGTCAAGCTCGCCGCCAACCAAGCTTTAAGTCGTCGAATCCTCGCTTCTTTGTTACCTTTCCTCACTACTACCATTCAACGACAACAGCAACAACCTCAGGGATAGTAACAACAACCACAGCCAAAATGGGTCTCACAGTCAAAGCAACCATCGCCTCCTTCGGCGGCAAGCTCTTCAAGCTCTCCCACCCCTCCACCTCCACCGGCACCGACATGGCCGTGAACCTGTACCTCCCTCCCCAGGCCCTCAAGTCTCAAACCAAGGTCCCGGTCCTGATCTACCTTTCCGGCCTGACCTGCACCCCCGACAACTGTTCCGAAAAGGGTTTCTTCCAGCACGGCGCCTCCCAGCGCGGTCTCGCCATCGTATACCCCGACACTTCTCCGCGCGGTCTCAACCTCCCCGGCGAAAAGGACGCTTGGGACTTTGGCGAGGGCGCCGGGTTTTACGTCGATGCCGCGCAAGAGCCGTGGGCCAAGGGGTACAAGATGGACACGTACATCACGCGCGAGCTTCCCTCGGTCTTGTTTGGGGCCGACTCGGAGTTTGGCAAGTACCTGGATGCCGACAAGGTCAGTATCACGGGCCACAGCATGGGCGGACACGGCGCCTTGACTTTGTACCTCAAGAACCCGGGCATGTACAAGAGCGTCAGCGCTTTTGCGCCGATTGCGAACCCGTGTGAGTGTGCGTGGGGCAAGAAGGCGTTTGCGGGTTATCTGGGCGAGGAGAACAAGGAGGAGTGGAAGAAGCATGATGCGACCGAGTTGATCAAGGGAGAGAAGTGGAGGGGACACAAGGATGCGAGGGTGTTGGTCGATGTCGGCACGGGCGATAATTTCTATAAGCAGGGGCAGTTGTTGCCCGAGAACTTTGAAAAGGCCGTTAAGGAGGCGGGCGTCGAGGGAGTGACGGTTAGATACCAGGAGGTGAGTTTTTCTTTTTATATGTCTTGTTCTTTTCCTTCCATATTCTGCAGTGCTTTTCTTGCACCACCAATAATCTGGCGCAGATTGGAATGGCTGACACACAAGTGATTGCACATATAGGATTACGACCATTCGTACTACTTCATGGCATCTTTCAGCGATGAACATGTTGACCATGCCGCCAAGTACCTGGGACTTCTCTAAACCAAAAAAAAAAATAAATAAATAAATAAAAAAAAATAAAAAAAAAATAGAAAAAAAAATACAAATAACAATAAAAATTGCTTGAACGGGGCTCTACTATAGAACCGCCTCGTCCAAGAATTGAGATGCCTGCTATATATGCCACGGGAATGCCAGCAAACATGAAAGTGACGATCAAGAGAAACTCCCAGGCAGCACGAATTACTCCTGCTCGACGTCCATGTACAATTACTTCGTTCTCCTGCCCCGACTGAACATCAAATAGGTATCACATACACATAAGGGTCTTCATCCCTCTCGGCTAATCCTTCTCATAGGGTCCTCACTCGACCCTGGCGTTATCGCCAACCCCTGCATCCCAGCTTGAGACTCAGCCATCTGAACCTCCTTCGTGATCCTATCGTATGCCAGCTTCTCAAACCGACTGAGCCCTCTCCACCAATGTTGGCCTGCCTCGTGCTGCGAGATCCTCTCCAGCAAATCCGCTGTCTTCACCCTGACTTCTCTGTCCTTATGGAAAAGCCCAAGGGCAATGTAGAACAAGCCGGCGTGTGCCTCGGGGGCGACACTGAGGAGCAAGCAGATTTCGTCGTAGCTGCGAACGTACTTGGCGAACGTCAGGTAAATATCGCGGCTCTGCATAGCCGTCAACCGTTGCGTGCGCAGTCGATCATGCATGTGATGGAGATCCAGGCCTTTGAGCGGACGGATCGTGTATAGCTGAGCGACGTCCTTGTGAGAAAAGTTAGCATGACTTGGATGTCCGTTACCATCAATTTCCCCTCGTCCTGCAATGGGTGACTTTTTGACTCCGGAGAATGTGATGACGCAAACTTAGGAGAAATAGGCAAACTCAACCCTGAACTGAAATAGGAATGAAAGGGGCGAGAAAAGGTGACCGCGAACCTGGATAAAGCTGTAGTAACTCCTAGTATTCCTCCAGCCTTCTATCCTCGTGACGTTCCCTGCCAGCTCCTTGCTCTTTTTTTCGTCGTCGGCCCACACGTAGCCGTGTCCCGTAGAGTTGGTCGTGTGCGGGTAGTTGTCGTGCTCATCACTGCCAATGTAAAGAGCACTGGCGCCATATACGCTTTCCTCAAAGGCAGCGGCAATGCGTGTGAACTTGAGAACCCAGTCCCGCCACTTGGCGCGAATCACACGCTCTCCAGCTCTCGTGGCTATGCTCTTTAACATGTCAGCCATGAAGGCCTGATCGCCTGTCAAGTCCGCCGCACTGCTCGAGTGACTCTGGTGTACGAGTGACGCGCAGGTTGGATTTTGTTGCTGAAAGTAGACGAGGCCCTCCGTAATTGCCGGCTGCTCGATTCGACTACTGATCTTGATTCTCCCACTGGGCAGGTCACACAAGATATCCCACCACTCAGGATGATGTTCGAATGTCGGGTTAGTGACACCCGCAATGAAACCAGGAACCCGTAAAAGGTCGTCGACCTTGGTCAAGTCCGTATAGGGAAAGGCGTGGCGAGTGAACCCTCTGAGTATACCGCCAGATGCGAGCGCGCAGGCGGCGAGGACCGCTTCGGCAACCTCGCCGGAAGGCATGTTGTGGCCTAGGAAGATGACTCGCTTTTGGGTAAGCAGACCGTTGACCAACACTATTATTGGGTGTGTATTGGGGCCGTTCGTGGTCAGGTGGGCATGCAGAGGGAAGGGATGTGGTGATTTCGCATGTGGTTCCGAGAAGTTTTGTATAAGTTTGATCAGGGAGAAATCCCCAACAGTCTCTGGCATAATCGCCGTTGGCACCTTGATCGGGATAGGGATACCCTTATACATAACTCTGCTCTCGAACTCGTGCGTGTCACGAGGTACTGCGTAAGTTGACTGTCCCTTGAGGTGCGCTGTCGTCCCATGTCGAAAAATGCCTGGCCTTCTCGGCGGACTCCTACTCGCGTCAAAAGGCTGGTCCGCAAGGCCATCTCGGTCCTCTGTAATCCGCTTTTGGATCATCTGTTCAAACTTTTCAACGAAAAGGTCCTTGTTGTTGCTCATTTGTAGCAAATGCCTCTCCAGGAGGCTTAGCTTGGGCATGAGCGACAAGTCCATCTCGTTGACCGCATCAAACAGCATGGAGAGGGTCTCTGGAACAGGAGACTTGAAGTATTCATCCAGAGCCAATAATAAAAGGGGCTATTAGGCAAGTAAGCGGTTAGTCGGAGCGGCAGTTGGGTTTGGAGCAGAATTACCTTGTATATATGAAGAAACGGGTGCCGGGTGCAGATAGCCATGGCCTTTACCACTGCACCTCTCTTGACTGTTTTGTCGTGTTTTGTGTTGACGAGGTTGAGAACGTATACTAACGGAGGCCCTTCGCCACCTTCAGGCTCGTCCTCGTCGGTCGATTCATCGTCATCCCAATCGTCGTCGTCCAGGTCGTCATCTTCATCATCTGACTCATGTATGATGCCCTGTTCGCGATCCTGTCTGCGTTTTCTCCGCCGACGCCTCTCCTCCTTTGCCTGACGGTCTGCCTCGTCCTCCTCGCGACTAGAATCCTTGTGCAAGAAGAATATGGTCCAATCTTGGTTTCGTGCGTGGGCCTGGTCTGGAAGCATGAGCTCAGCCAACATGTGCTCATCCCCGGTGATAGCGACCGGATATTGATGCTCCATGACGGGACCACGGTCTATATCAAAGGAAGCGACCAAGATGTACTCGACATGGTTTTCGGTACTCCCACGGGGGTACTGCGAGCGCAACTTGCGGCGAGGACGGCCAATGGCGTTGTTGTATTGACGAGTGACACCGGCGGCAGAGAGCGAGCTGTGCTGCGAGGAGAAGCCAGTACCCGTGGAGGCAGTCTTGCCTTTGGAGCTCAGAGTGGAGGTTCGGTCAGGTTCGACGTGAGGCGGCTGCGGGGAGCGCGAGCGATGAGCTGGGCCATGATGCGACATTTGGGATACTGATCGGGGCGGAAAGGAGGAGAGAGACGGCTTTCGATCGTGAGCTGTTCCAGTCGCTCCGTTGACGTGTTGCGAGCTGTTGCTTCGTGAAAACGAAGGCCGCGCCGGCTGAGGGGATGCCATGGTTTACTTTGTCCGTCTGCTTTGCGACAGATGGTAGCTTATGTGAAACGAGGTCCTAGTGTATATGCTGTGCTACCAGATACCCGATACCTGCCAATCTATCGATACTCGGACAAGTATTCCACGCCGTCCAATCTCGTGCGGTACTCGATTCTGTCGGGCGATCACGGCTCGAATAGGCTGTCGGGTCAATGTTGTTTCTCATGGGTTCCCGGCGGGGAGGAACATGCGCCTTTGTGGTTGTGGCAGCTAGCGGTAAGTACACTCGTGGTGAAACTCGAATGATGATGGCCGTGTGATGGCAAGACGAAGGGGCATAACAGCCCAATCCCATAGTCTTAGCTCAACGCTGAGTTTCCGAAGGAACTACGCAGTAGTATGTAATTACCTCTAGAAGGAGATGATGGAGGCCAGGAAGCTGTTGTGCAGCCCAACGGTGGTGGACTCTCCTGCTTGGGCGATTCAGGGACCTGCATTTAAACGACCCCAGCATTGACATTTTTGGTGGAGTGCGGGCGGGAGCTGCCCCTGGACCGCTCTTCCTTTCGTATAGTAATATTCCCTTTCTTCACATGACGGACACCATACATCTCAGGTATCTGAATCTTATGCAAGATATAATGAAACCTTCATCCGTAGCCAGCGAACGCCGTACGTACAACTTGCTCGAACCTAAACTGTTACACAAGAGGCCACCCCAAGTCATTTCGACGGGAACGGCCTCTCCTGACAGGGGGCCGCCCATTTCTGCACCCGCCTGCCCTGCTGATGGTGGAGGTCACTGGAGGAGGGGTTTAGGCCTGGCCCCTGTTGCAGTTCAGTTGCTTCCTTCTGTCTACCTAGGTACCGCCCCGCCTGCATCAAATAAAGTTACGGAAGGTTTAAATACACGCCGGAGCCAATCAGACGGGAGTTTCCAATCATGCCCTGGACCCCACCAAGGTTCAGCTGCCTAAACTCAAGTCCGTCCTACACGGAACAGGAACCGCGCTGCAGCACGGGACGCACAAGCCATGCCGGCGTTTCGAGATCCATGGAAGTGCTGCGGCTCTCCCTGAACTCGAACCGTTGTCTGGTCGCTTTTGTTTACTTTCAACTCCACTCTTCTTCCACCATCGCCGGTTGCAAACCGAACCGAACACTGCTTGACGACGCGAATGCTTCACTTGGTAATACCAGAGGCTCTCTTAGACTCGCATAGCTGGACAAAAGCCAAAGTTCATCCACCTGGCACGCTCAGCGTCTAGTGTATTTTGGCAAGCAGCGATCACCAACAAGCAATCCGGGGAATCGTACAGTATAGGGCGCATTCGTCTCGCTGTCCATCATCCGCCAGCCCAGCAAGCCAGTCCCAGCTACCGTCCATTGCGACCTACGTCACTTTACTCAAGTGGAAACCAGGACCATGGTGCGCGATTCCCCGTCAAAGAGTTCCATGCACGATTTCCAGAGTCCAATCGCTAACCCCGTCCCGTCTCGCGTGTCATCGTAACAGGCGACACCAACAGCAGGGCCGTACAAACCATCCCCACTGGGATCGTACGCCTCCCCAATGGGATCGGGCCCCCTTGGTGCCCCAACTACCACCAGGAATTCCCCATTCCAGCGCAGAGCCGTGTCCCCAGTGTCCCCGTCCCCACTCCGACAAGCAGCAACATCTCCATTGGCGACACCGCCTGTCAAGCAACAGCAACAATCGCTGTCGGGAGGAGGGTCTAGTGTAAGCGAGTTGACGTCCCGGTTCGCCAATAACATTGCCAACAGCAGCGGCCAGCCGACCGCGCTCCGAGCTGGGCTTGGAGCTCCTGCGCCTACGACAGCTACACCGACCAGTCAGACCCAATCCCAGGCCAGCTGGACACCTAGAGCTTCGGCATCGGCACCGACCGTAGTCAACCCGCCGCCGCCTAACCCAATGTTTCTTAACGGCGACGCGCCGCCGCCGCGGCCTCCCCAGCATCGCATTTCTCCCTTGCCTTCACCCTCGATACCACGAACGACTACCTCTGCCTCTACCATGAGCATGGGAACCGGAGGCAATGCCATGTCCCAGCTGCAGCCCTCGCAGGTGCGCACCCTGCGGGAGGGCTTCCAGATCCTGGACCGCGACAGCGACGGTGCGGTGGTCAGGGAGGATGTCATTGACATGCTAAACCAACTGGGTAGGTTCCTAGACCTGTACCTATGTCTATCTACTCTTTATCTTCTCTGATCTTCTCAACTAACCCCGGGCATCTCTGACATTCAGGTCTACCCAACAGCGCCTCCGACGTCTCCCAATTCTTCCCTCCCAACGGCCCCCAGTCAATGACCATGGCCGTCTTCTTCAACTCCATCGCCACCGCCCTCTCCAGCCTCTCCCCCAGCGGCGAACTTCTTTCCGCCTTCTCGGCCTTCGATGACGACGACAGCGGCCAGATTGACGTGGCTGAGCTGCGAGACGCCCTACTCAACACGGCGCCCGAACCAGGCGAGAGGCCCCTAACGTCGCTCGAAGTAGACAAGGTCATGGCCGGGTTCACGGGTCGCAGGGCGTTTGCTCAGAACAGCCAAAGGACGACTGGGCTGGGAGGAGTAGGCGGGGGAGGCGCCAACAAGCGTGGGGAGGTGTTCAGATACCAGGAATTTGTCAAGTTAATTCAGGGGACGGGGAACGGTGGAGAGCAAGGGTCCGAAGACTCGGGACGTGGTTGAAATCAGATGGGAGAGCGTGGTGTACCAGAAACACCGTAATGATGGGTTAATGGAAGGCTAGCTTGATGGGATAATCAATGAGGGAAAACGGAACGGAAACTGTTAATTACACCGGGTGGTGGATGGTTATGATGACGACGATGACGACGGGCTGGATAAGTCTGGTTTTATTATTGCGGGCAGGCTCTGTGATACTGGGTTTGGTAATATTGTAGTTTAGAATCAGGACAGGCAGACAGGCAGGTTGCATCGGCGTTGTCGAGTCGGGTACGTAATGAATGGATATTACTTGAACCTTGAACTGGGAAAATGGGAAAACCGAGAAAGAGCTTGCCTTGCAACCGAGGTTCATTGGTCTCAGCTGTTGAACTTGATCTCGATGCTGCTGTCTTCGGGATGGTTGCTGCTGATGTATGGTCCCATTCGTCGAGAGTTGGACGAAGGTGTTGCTTGGCAACAGAAAAAGTTGGTTGGCTGGGTTAAATTATAAGATGGTGATTGCTGGGAATTCAATGGGAATGGGGCAGACAAATGGTGAGGTTTGAGCAAGCATTAGGTGGTCAGCCTTGTCACTCGGTCTCCAATGGCATGTCATATCTGTATAGTGATAAGTGTTGGATAGAACCTTCGAGAAGGACTTTCCAAAGTGATGTTTCTTAGTCTGTCTGCTCTGAGTCCCTGTTTAACACATAGGTTTCTCTTTGGGAACTTATCATTCATCAAGCGGGGAGGGGAAAGGAGGGGGTTGACAGTGACAGTGACAGTGACAGTGACAGGGCGAGCTACATAGGAGCTAGGGGGTGCCACTTGTTCGTACCTACATAGTCTACGCTATGCCCGGTCAGGCAAGCTCAGCCCTCTCAGCCCTTTTCAACCACCCTCGATTCACCTTTCTGAGAGATCACCTTAGACAACAACAGAGCGAAACACTCCAGAAAAAAGTGATGGTGTGGTGTGTGGATAAATGAGTGCACAGCGGGTAAGCGGGAAAAGCCGTTGATGAACTTACAGCGAGACAGTGGATGCATTCGTAGGCTGTGTCATCCGCTGCCCCCTTTTTGTCTTACATCGACCAAGCCCTTTGATGTTTAGATTCGATATCCAAATTTCTGCAATCCTCCAATATCTTCTTTGCTGTTCTGGCTCTGGCTCTGGCTCTGGTTCTAGTTCTGGTTCTGGTTCTGGTTCTCGTCAATGTCTCGATCTCAATTTGATCACATCTTGTTGGGACAAGGCCCAAGTGTTGGCTAAATGATTACTACTCCAGCTGGTCTGGCGGCCATCGTAGGGCTATCTTGGCAGGATGATGGGTGGTCGAAGAATTTTTCTTGAGGAAAAGTAATAGATGGGGGGCCGGAGTGGTGAGTTGACATCCCCGAACGAGTAGAAAGTCCCAATAAAGACAAAGGCCGGCTCGATGCAGGATTAGTCTTACCAAAACGAACCAACGCTGTCAAAGCTATTGGTTGGGAGATAATGACTGTCAAGCCATCCATCACGGCCCTCTTTTTTATGCTGGTTCAGTGTCTAGCAGCCGGGCCGTGATGCGGGGGCCGGGAATATCATGATGATATATGATGTCTGGCATGGTTCTTCTGAGCATCTTTGGAAACAAAACCTAGGGAAGCACACGGCGATGACGTTGGCACTGGTTGGAAATGGTCCCCGGATGAACAAAGCGCAAGATGAACGTGAGAGGCCTTCCAACGCTCCAATTTCGTTCCTTTGGATCGCATGTACCTACAACTAATGTCCCGGCCACTGCCTCCGTGATGGAATAACTCTTTTTTTTTTCTTCTTCATTTTCTTTTTTCTTTTTCTTTTTGTTCCGTTTTCGCCCTCGGCACTTGTAACGTATGACTGGTGTTTTCTCTCTGGTCCAAGTGAAGGATTGGTTGATGTGAGGAAGGGTATAGGTGGGCCTGCCGGGACCCCTAACCAACTGACATAGCTCCGAATCGCAAATGATTTGTCTGCGGAAGCCGAGAAAATCATCCTAAACCCTTCCAATACACCAAGACGGTATCCATCCCTCTTTTATAGCGTCGGATGTGATGGGATGGATCGACCGTGCCGAAGGTGCCTAGCTCTTGTTGCTGCTTTTCGTTGGCTTCTCTTTTCCCTCTCTTGTGTGTCTGAACTGACGCCTGTCTCATCTTGTTGAAGCTGTTCGTTCATCCAGCGTGCTTTGTCATTTTGCATCAATCGTCCCATGTCGTCCCGCTTTCATCTCCATCCCAACCTCCTCGAAACCGCGGATTTCTGCAAGCTTCTCCGTATCCAACTCGGCGCGACCGCTACCCTGCCTCTTCGCCGCACATAAAAGGCACCAGAGATTCACGGCCAGGACCCCGGGCAAAGGAGCTGAGAAAGCCATTTGCTTGCTTCCCGCGCACGCGGTTTCCATCACCCTGACCTAATTCGATGTGGCCTAGGTAACACTCGGCATTTCGTGTTCCATAGTGAAAAGAAGTGGAAGGTTTTATAGGCGCTGAACCCCTAGAGAGTTCCTGTGATCTCCCCACAGTTCATCAACCGGCCCCGTACTAGTAGACGGAAGACCGTGAACATCAAGGTCAGCGAGAGTTTCCACTTTTGACTCGGGTACGCACAAGTACTTGGCACAGATAATCGCAGGGTACCAGCATAAGAAAACCCCACGTATTTTTGCCTGCATCCGGATGCCGCGATACAAGATCCGGCTTTAGTTGCAAGTCACCGCTCGCTCGGCACGCACACCACTGGGAAACTTGACATTTTGGCGGCCCCAGCCCGCATAGGTTGCTACACATATCCCGCCGGCGACCTTAACAAACCATCGGCAACCCGGTGTTAGGAAAACGCCCTTTTGCAACGGTTTGCGGTCCGGAAATCGGTAACTACTCAGTCCGGCAGTCTCAATGAGATTTTTCAGCAAGAAATCGTCCAAAAGCTCCACCTCCGCGGACAGAGTGGACGCAGATACGCGCGCCGGACGTTACGAGTCGACGCAGCCTTCTGGCACTTCAGGTCCAGGAAGTCCCTACTCGCACGCAAAGCGTTCGCACTCACAGTCGCCGCCGCCGCCGCCGCCGCCTCCCAAGAAGTCTCTAAGGCCGCCCGCGCAGGCGCAGCAACACCGATTGTCCCCCACCAAACCCGTGTTTTCGTCCCCCTCGGGCACCCGCTCGCCGTCCGCCAAAAAAACTCACAGGTCGGACAGCCAACCACGCCGGGACCATTCTCCCCCGACACCACCTCCGCACTACAACCTTCCCCCAACACCACCGTCGGGCTCAACTTCTAGATCTGCGAGTGCGCGCGATCCCACAAAACACTCGTCGTCGTCGTCATCGTCGCATCAGCCGCGCTCCTCGACCAGTTCCCGCAGCAGTTTCGGCCGCCACCCAGTCGACCCCGCCGCTGCGTCTGACAGCCGTTCCAGGTCAACATCCTTTCGTCGAAAAAAGGTCGACACAGACATCCACCCGCTGAACCTGCCTCCCGAGCAGCGCAAACGCTTTTCTGATCTGTCCGGCTTTAGTGTTCGAAATTCAATGGAGTTCGACAACAAGGAGAACGGCGCGGCTTCCGCAGCCTCGCCGCCGCCGCCGCCGCACAAGCAGCAACCGCAGGACCAGCAAGCTCAGCAGAAGCCCACACCGCCCGCTCACGGAAGCACGTTTACCGTCCCCATGTCCAACGGTGCCGATGCTGCTCAGACCAATGATGGCGAAGTTCCTACCCCTCCTCCCCATCGCTCGCAGCCTACTACCCCCGTGCAGAGCCCTGCCGAGCAGGCAGAGGGCTTCAAAAATGAGGGCAACAAATTCTTCAAGGCAAAGGATTATAACCAAGCGATTGTGCATTATACCAAGGGTGAGAAGGCGGCCAGGTTCGAGGATCAAAAAACATTATCGAGGCAGAAACTAACTTGGTCATAAAAACTACAGCCATCGTCTTGCAGCCCGAATCCGCAACATATCTAGGAAACCGTGCGGCAGCCTACATGTCCGCCGGCAAGTATAAGGATGCTCTTGAGGACTGCACTCGCGCAGCGGAGCTTGACCCGAACAACCCCAAGATTCTGTTGCGTCTGGCCCGTATCTACACCAGCCTTGGCAGACCCGAAGAGGCCATCGCCACTTTCGGCCGCATCCAACCGCCCCCTTCGGCCAAGGATATGGCTCCCGCTAGGGACATGCTAAACTATATCCAGGCCGCCCAAAAGGCTCTCCAGGAGGGCACGGCCGCTTCCATGGTTCTGCACCCCCTCGATATGGCCGAAAGGCTCCTGGGTATCGGTGCTAGCCGGCCCAGAAAGTGGGTTTTGATGCGTGGCGAGGCTCTCCTCAGGTTGGGCGATATCAACTCTCTTGGTGAGGCTCAAAACATTGCAATGTCGCTCCTCAGGAACAACAGCCAGGACCCCGAGGCTCTCGTGATTCGTGGCCGTGCGCTTTATGCTTCAGGTGAGAACGACAAGGCGATTCAGCATTTCCGCAAGGCGCTCAGCTGCGATCCCGACTTCAAGGATGCCATCAAGTGGTTGCGTATCGTTCAGAGGTTGGACCGTATGAAGGGAGAGGGCAATGACGAATACAAGGCTGGCCGTTGGCAAAACGCCCTGGAAAAATACACTGCGGCGTTGGAGATTGACCCGTCAAACAAGGGCACCAACTCCAAGATTCTTCAGAACCGCGCCTTGTGCTACACCAAGCTGAAGCAGTTTGACGAGGCCATCGCCGACTGCGAAAGAGCCATCAGCCTCGACCCTTCTTACCTCAAGGCCCGCAAGACCAAGGCCAACGCGCTTGGCTTGGCCGAGAGGTGGGAGGACTGTGTTAGGGAGTGGAAGGCACTGCAGGAGCTCGAGCCTGAAGACAGGACCATTGCTCAGGAAGTCAAGCGGGCCGAGCTTGAGCTCAAGAAGTCGCAGAGGAAAGACTACTACAAGATCCTTGGGATCGACAAGAATGCGGATGAGACCCAGATTAAGAAGGCGTACCGTAAGCTCGCCATCGTCCACCATCCCGACAAGAACCCCGGTGATGCCTCCGCCGAAGCCAGATTC